TGCCTGAGGATGCCAAGGCTGGAAGCAGAACTACCACAGATCAGGACTTGTTTGCCAGTGCATTAGTATGCTAAAAAACCATTATGCAGTGTAGGGTGCATTGCAGGGTGTGAGCTTTCTTAGCAGCTTGAAAGCACTTCCTGAATACTCAGGGACTTCTTCCCCCCCCCCCCCCCCCCCCCAGTGCCTCCCAAAACACCTGAGGAACATGTGTCTGGGTCTCTGTTGTATGCACCACCCTCATCTCCTCTATCCCACAGCTCTGCAAGTGCCAACCTGTTCATGTTTTGATAAGTGTCTCTTTGCAAAGCAGTCCTGCATCAAAGTGAGTGAGGCTTCCTGACTGTGCCACTGCACTCAAGGTGAGATCTCCGGAGGAAAGCAGGAGTCACAGCTCTGTCGCTCAGGTTTCTTCTCTTCATTCACTCTGCAGATCCTGGTATTTTTAAGGAGCATTCATTGGAAAGGTAATGGCAGAGCTTGACTAATGCTGTTTCAGGCATCTATTAAAATTATTGAATGACTATTTGAGATGTTATCTTCCAGGCAGTCAAAACCTCCTCTGACTTTACAACCTTCTCTCTTGCTTCTCATCCCCCTGTTCTGTCATGCTTTTGTCTTACAGCTTAACTCTGCGATTAAACAGCACAGGTTTTAGGCACATGAGTAATTAAATTAACTTGGGAAGACAGACCTGATGTCTTAATGCTTCTAACTTCCACCACTTCTCTTAATTCTCCTGTCTTTTCCCAGGATTTCAGAGGTGGACTGGTTAGCATCCTGAAAATGATTTAAAAGCCACCAGTTCCTGCATTTAATAGCCAGTCTGAAAGTGACTTCAGTGCAGTGACTGGGGTAAGGGAAGAACCTAGACTGAACTACATCTGTTCAGGTCCTCAAATAGAAACCTCACAGTTACAGCACAAAACTTAAATGAAGAGTTGTCAGTGAGGACCTGCTGCTGGAGTGACCAACACTGCATGGCTGCAGGGACCCCATCTTGAGACCTCACCTGACAGTCTGATTTCTGACTTTCTCCAACTCCAGCTGGCTTCACTTGAGTTGGGATTTGAATTTTCTATGGAAAATACTGCCCCCAGTTTCCAAGCCAGCAGGATAGGGCAGGGAGCTTATAGACCTTGGCCAGAGGATTTTATGTCTGAGTTTCTTTGAAATGGGTTCTCAGGGTTTATTCAGTCCTAAAGGGGGTTTAGTGGATGCTGAAGATGCAAATGTCACTTGCATTTTCACTGGCCATTTTTGACAGTGATACTATGGACACAGGTTTGTGTGCAGCTATGGATATATTGCATGGGTTAATCAGTCTACACGAGTATACAAGAGCTGTACTAGACACCTATGTACTAAGCAGTGTACTTTAACTTTAAGATGGAACAACCGTGGCAACAACAAAAGATACAGATAAGATGGCTGGGATAGGGAAAATATACTACTTTGTAACTTCTGTAAATGCTAATCTACTTATAAAACTACTACATGCATTTCTAGGTGATGGTGAAGGGTATTTGGAAGTGAACCAATGCGCAAATCAGGGTGCTAGTACCATGGGGTACATTTCCCAGCAGCTAATGATCTGTTATGGTGATTTGAGGTGAGACCAAAAGCTTTTAAACCAGCTGGATATTCATTGTCAGGACTGTGCATCCAAAGGCCATAGCTGCTCACTGAAACCATGGTGAAACCATTAGGTAATCCCCTTTATAGAGGTCACTGGGCAATCTCACATTGCCTCTTACAGGGGGTTTGAGACTCCTTGCTGTGCAGGTCTTTCCTTCTCACTTTGAAATACAAAAAAGGGGAAAGCAGGCTAGGAATCGATTAGCCATTAAGGAATTATAATTGATATTTAGGGGTTTTTAGAGTGGAAACCTGGAAAAAAAAAACCAAACCCAGTATGAAAAAAACAGTAAAACTCATTTGTTTTCTTAATGAGCGTGTAGCACTTAATGTAAAGCATTAAGACTTATCAAGCAGGATTCTCTTGCCGCAGAACAGGTACAGCACAGACAGTAGGATTTAAATTCCCTTTATGTTGTCTTCCTGCCTTAAAAATTGACCTCTTTTCTCATGGGAATTGCTTTTAGCTCCTATCATCTTCCCTCTCCTTGCACAGGCAGAGAGTGGTGATAAGCGAGAGAGGAGGGACTGTGGGAGCTTCTGCTCATGCTGAATGTCCTTGCATGGACACTGCCTGCAGCAAAAATCCACTGCAGGTCTGAGCAAGCAACCACTGAGGCACAGATAACTTGGGGAAAGCAGGAACTGATTTCTTGAGCTCTGAAACTGAATACATCTGTCCATAGTTTGGATCTCTGAGTCATGCAAGTCTGCTTTTATAATCAAAAGGAAACAGGGATAATAGAAACAGTCATGTCTGGATTGACCTCAAAGATATCCATATAAAACACAGCATCTCTATTAAGGGTGTTTCTCTGCACGGGCTAGAAAAGAACCTTAAGGTAGCAAACTCATAGTTAAGACACAGAACTTTTACTTGTCTTCCTGGATTTTGCACTCCATGGGATATGGAGTAATTGCACCATTAAAACTCACTGAAAGCTAACACTCAGGCTGTGAGCAGCTCAGCAAACCCACTCAGCTGCCTCACCACATACCTCAAGCACAAAGGGTTAAGGAAAGTCTGGAATGCCTAAGTCTAAAAGCAACCTTTAAACCTCTGTCTGAGTCTTTATATCCACTAATCCTCCCCATTAACACAGGCCTGTGAAAACCCATCTCTTGGTCCATTGCTTTCTTGCTTGCTTTCTTTGTGGAATAGATGTTTTTAGCATCGAACTGGGATGCTCTGCTGCATGGGCAAGACCCAGCTCCTCTTTTCCCCTGATTTGTTTTCTTATTTTCTGTATCTTCCAATTTACCTGTCACAACAGAAATCCCAGTTAACACTGGGATATTATTACAGTCACATTTCTTTGATTCCACCACTGTATTTCTTTACCCAGATCTGCGTTTGCACTCCTTTCCCTCCCTTCTACATCTATCAGAAAAGTCCTCTGATGTTTCCAGAAGATCACTGCAGAAGCCTTTTCCTTTGAGCAGGACCCTGACAAAGCACCTCTTGAAAACAGCTCTGGTCCTGCCATGTCCTCTGATACAGCTTTGCCCAGTCCATTAGCATGAACTCTCTTGCTCCAGGGAAAACAAGCACAACCCTTTCCTCAGGTATGGCGTCTTCATCAGATGCTGAATGAGTTGCACCTTTCTTATACTTTGTCTCTCAGCAGCTCCTCCCTACAGTGGTGGTGATGGTCCTGGATTCTGGACCTAGGACAGGTTGGTTGCCTGCCTAAAGAGCTGCCTGCCGTGCTTGGAAAGTGGTACCCCCTTCTCACATGTACTTCTAGGGTTGCTACATTCATCTGCCCCACTGAGCTATGTAGGGGTTAATGAAATACTGCTTATACAACTCTGTGAAGATGAAAAGTGCAGTGGAAGGGTTCTGTTATTGTTACCATGTATGAAGAGTTCTCTACCAGACTCAAATGTATTGTGTTTGGCCACTGGATGTCACAGCTGCTCAACGCACAATGCAGCTGAAATAAGAAAGGAAAAGTGCTCACCCAGCAATGGGCAACAGCCACGTTTCCAAAACCCTTATTTTTTTCTGTGAGGAGTGTTTGTTTGTTGAGGGGCTTAGGGATTTCTCCTGTGTTTAGGCACTGCTAATATTGAGTGTCAGAGAGACTGAGCAGCAACTGTGCTTCTTCTGCATGTTATCGCACTAGGAGATCAGGATCAAAATGAGTATTTTTATGAAAGGATGTGCAGATATGTATAAAATGCTACTAACACAGTGTCTGAAAAGGTGGACGAGTACTTGCACAGGCTGACAAGCTGTCTTGTCACTGAGTTATTCCTTCTTTTTCCCACCAGCATCTATTCCACAGCACAGAGCCCTGGTATGATGGAAAAACTTCTCCCAAGCCAGCTCTCAGCAGCACTCAGGCCATGTTGTTGTGTACCTCACACTAAATACAGGGGGAAGATGGACCCTTCCTAATTCTTTCTTCACATTTTGGGTTTATTTTCCAAAGTCCCAAGTAGACATCCAGAACATAACTTCATATAAGTCACATAAGTGACGTAAGTGACTTTCAGCAAAGTCTGTAAAGCAGACCTATAAAGACATTACAAGAACTGTAATTACATTTCCTGGAAATGAAAATGAAGAGGGATTATTCGACCGTGTTCTCTTCTTTTTATAGCATCACATTGTCCTTTTTGCCACCTTGGGGAAATGGTGAGTGAAAGGCTGCTCCTGGTGCAGTGAGGTGATAACCACCCCAGAAGTGATGTGAGCAATAAAGAGGGGAAAGTGCTTTATGATGATCCAAGAGCTATACCTATGACTAAGAGTAATTGGCTGAAACTGAGCAAAAGAACATTTAAGTTGACAATGAACTGCAGGTAGCTAATGCTGAGATCTGTTAGACCATGAAATGGAATTTCCAGAGGGAACCTCTCTGCTTTGAAATGGACAAATCCTGCTTTTAGGAACACTGGTGTAAACTTCCAGTGTCTATCCCTGACTCCCTCAAAGCCCATTTCTATCACAAAGCTTCAGTAGAATCAACAAACATGTCTGAATTTATGGTGGGAGAGGGTAAATTTATCCAAGCACATCCAAATACTACAGAAGAGGAAGAAGGCCTAAAGAGATTGTGTGAACTGGAGAAATGAATTCTAGTGCTTTGACTTCTGTGATCTCTGTATGTAGTTGGAAGCCAGGGGGCAAAAATGAGGTTAGGGGGGAAATAAAACATAGACAAAATTCAAAGAAGCAAGGGCCAGTTTTGGATGGGAGATGTAAAAACATTACAGGAATTGTTGAATAAAAGGATTTCATATTTCAGTCTGCACAGCTACTGCCAGCTTTACTCATGGGTTTGGGGCTAGCAGCACTAGCTGCTTTTTGTTGTTATAAAATTTGTGTAGGCTCATTCCTCCAGCCTGAGTGAGCTCTATCTGAAGAGGTTTTGGACTCACTTATGAGTACCTAGATAACCTGACTGAAGGCAATCTATCCATCTTACATCCAACAGCCTGCTCCTGGTCACATGTTTGTTGGCTTGGGAGTGATGCAGCTATTGCTGCAACCCCTGATGAAATTCCTGCTGATTCAGAGGGAAAGGGGTTAACCCTTTCAAATTCTGGGTCAAAGGAGCACTGGGGTATAGAGCCAGCTATTTCAGTGCAATGGAAAGGTTTTAATGTGGCTACCAATACTCAGAATGGGTCTGAAAGTCAGACTTGAGCTGAGGTTTAGGCCAGTGAGGACAGATGGAAGAGCCAGGGAGAAGCAGGGTTTAAAAGATGGCAAGGAGTCAGGGGAAACCGTAGAGATAAAAGTGAAGTGCATGGAAGCCAATGATGTGGGATAAAAGGCTTATTTCCTAATGTAGTCAAGGCAGGGTTGGGGAGGCTGAAGTCTGTGTAACTGCATCTGTGTGAAAGCAGCCTGACTTTGTGAGGAAATCCTGCCAAGGATATTCACAGCTGAGATAACCTGACATGAGATTTTCTCACTAGCTAAAGTTGGGTGCAGAGAGGAGTCCTGTTAGACCTACAGTCTTCTTCTTCACCTGTAAAACACCCGTTTACTTCAAGCATGGTCCTGCTGTGATATGTGGAGTTCCTGGGCACTATGTCCGTACTTCTCTCCAGCAATTACATTGAGATAGCAAAAGAGGTGACTAACAAAGACAAGCCTCAAGCCAGGTGGAATACCATAGACATAAAAAAGCTATAGCTCCAAACCCAATAATGATAGAAGTGTGCAATACTTCATACAGGAGAAGGAGGTCTCCTCCCTTATTATTCAACTTGTAGTTAGAAGCTTAATATTCAAATACATTTAATGAGTTTAATTAAAATTATTCTGTCCTAACTCCAAAGCAAACTCATACTTAGTGCCCTTAGAAAATCCTGTCCCCAGACTGCTGTGCCTTCCAGAGTAACCACTAATCTGGAAGAAGCTAACTTGAGCTAACAGAGATGTTGGTTTTGGCTGTGCTGAGCACCCAGGGCTCCTGCTGATGGCAATTAAAATGTCACAATTCTAGCATGTTGCAAAAGCTCCATTAAAAATTAATTCACTGTCATCTCCAGTTCCCTGGCGCCAGTACATTCCCAAATGGGCTTTATTTCAAACCCTCTGTGCAGACTGGGCTGGCTGATCGATAAAGCACAGCTTGTTCCTAAGTGACATCCATTTAAACGCTCTTGGCACACACAGGCAGGAAGGGTGACAGGAGGGATGCTGTGATGCAAGAGTGACCTCCTCTTCTTGACTCTTGTTCACACCCTCCTGTGCTGCTGTGTGGAATCCTGGAGTATGAACAGCATAAACCCCCAAAACTTCTCCCTCAGCTAATTTCAAAGCCTGTTTACCCAACAGGATACACAAGGATTATGAAGAGCATTGCAGGGCATGTTTGATTAGTTTAGTCCTTACACAGTTCAGCGCAGCTGTCAGGATAAATGACTTCTTTAGAAGAGAGAGGGAAAAAAGACACATTTGGTTAATCACCAATATTACAGCAGTAATAATTCCAAAGATTAAATATGCACAGCACAAACCAGCAAACCAGGAAAGCCTTTTAATGTTAACAATTCCCTTGCAAAGAGTCAGATTTTGAATAGAAAACCTGCTTCTGTTCTTCAGCACGGCCTAATCCTAGTAACTCGAGTTCACATCTGAAACTCACCTGCAGCTCTCATTGTTCAGTTGCTGTTATTACATACCCTATTGCTGAAAACAATAACTGCAAACATCATTGCAAGTGGCAGGGATACTGCAGCCAGAAGTGCTGCGACTTCACTGACGTCAGCTTTCTTGTCAAGTGTTTCATATTGCTGCCTGGCACCCACAATCAACAGCAAAGTTGTTCTGCGTGTGCTCTTCTCAGCACCAGGTGAAAATTCCATTTCTGGGGAGATTTCTGCTCCCCTTTTGTTCTTAAAGTGGGTTTATGGGTTGGGAAGCACTGCTGGACAGAAAGGGCTGTTGCTCAGTGTGTGTCATTCTTAGAGGGAGGAGAAGGCTATTCAAAGGGAATGACATTTGCCTAGTAACAGGATACAAAAGGCAGGCAGAAGATCCATGGCCTGTTCTCCGGGCTGCTGAATTGCTCTTTCACTGGATCTTGGGCAATTATTTGCTCAGAACACGTTTTTAGGGAAATGGAGTGCCTGAGGATGTGCAGAGCAGCTCCTGAAGTCCAGAAGAACATTTGGACATCTGATACCTCCTAGTTCTTTTTTGAGCTCCTGTATGGTTTGAAAAAGCCATCAGGGTTTCAGTATCTTGTGTCATGCCTGTGTCTTCCAGCAGCCTAAATGCTTTTTCACAACTCTGAATTTTCCAAAGGTTGCAGATCTCTCCCATTCAAAACTAGATTTTCAGTGACTAGAGATGGTGTTGAAATCAAAATGCGTTGAAATACTAAGCTGTGAGAGCATTTGTAAACCTGGCCTCAGAAGTGTAATTTCAAAGGAGCTAAGTGCCTACAATTTTGACTTCTAGTAAGAGGGTGAAAACCAGTCCCTTAAATGCCTTTTCCCTGGGCTCCTTCCTTTGTGTAACAAGGAAACAGTTTGCCACCTCAGGACAGTGTTTGGAGCTCTGTATTAGGCATCTTTGCTTACAAAGCACTCTTTTACAGATACTTGCAGTGAAGCATTTCAACCTGCTCATCAGGAATGAATGGACAGGAAAAGTGGGCAGGAGTGTGTACAGACAGCACTGAGACCACCAGCTTTGGCTGTTGGTGGGGAAACTTGTTCCATTTGCACAGACAGCTTGGTTCAAAGGGTCGATAAAGTGCCCTCAGTATTTAAAGCTGACTGTCTAACTAAAATCTCTCTGGGGCATTGTTTGCTAGTACTGTTTTGAATGGGTAGAAGGGCAAGATGGGTGCTGGAAGGGCCAGACCTGGAGTAAACTGGTATTTGTGCTTCCTGAGGATTTGTAAAGAACTCACTCTCCCCCTTGGTTCTTACAGCAGATACAGTGAGAGAGATGTGGATCACAGCTGCCTTGTTCTACCTGCTCCTGGTGCATCCGAGCTGCTCTCACCTAGTGCACTGGACATACAAAGGTAATGCAAAATGAGGCTGGTTTGGGATTTCTACTGCTTGCTTAAGACACTCCCATGCTTTTTGTGCTGCAGAAGCAACGCTCAGCTCGACTGTCTTTCCATTAGTGAAAGATCTTCACAGAGCACCTAATTCAATCTACTTTATTGATGCCTGTGTGTCTTGAAAGTGATTCTCTTCAATGTTACCCCTTTTTACTCCTTTGTGTGGCTAGGACACATTGTCAGAGTTGGCAGACCAAGGAGGTTCAAACAATGAGGGAAACCTTCACATGTGCTTAAATAAAAGCTGCCCTTTGGATGATCCTGGAAGGAAAAGCTTTAAATACTGCCTACTTATTGTTTCATTGTCATATCCCATGCAGTGCAGATCACTAAGAAGAGCTTATTTATGTATTTATATTCTTTATGAAATTTTATCTTTTCTTCCATTTCAGGAGGTTGTTTGCAGAGCTCATTGAAGTAAATGATAGTCCTTTTATGATCTGCAGTGGGGTGGGAATTGAGATAAAGCCAAGGATATTATTGAATAGATGAGATAGTGCAATTAGGACACTAAGCTGTTTGCAGAAGTTCTCTCTGGGTTTTCTTTAGGCTGGGCTCTCTGCATGTCCTAACTCCCCCATATTTAATCAATCCCAGGAAACAAACACCTGCAAACTGACATTGCTTCAATGAAATAAAAAGGATTAACAAATAGTAACCCCTCCTCAGGTGTGGCCGTCATTGTAACTGAAAATTAGGGAGGGGAGGAAGTAGCTTTGAATTATTTCCCTTTTTACAGCCATCACCTTGCCTTCCAACCCATCTCTGCAGGGTTTGAAGTCTGAGTTCCACAATCACATGAGGATTATTCCTCAGCTGTAGCTCTGTTTGTCTCAGACAGACATGACTCTGACGTTAATCAATATATCTCAGTTCTGGGCTGAAGAAAAGGTTTCCTTTCTGGTTGTCAGTTACAGCCATGACAGAGACGGCATCAATATTTCTACTTAAAGTCCTAAATATAGCACTATGGAAAGGGCAAATAGCCTTGAAGGGTTCAAGCATTTGCTCAGTTTCAACAGCACCCAGTCCTCCACAGGAAAGAGTCACATTAGGGCTAAAAGGCTTAGAACCATCAGAAAAAGGATAGCATCCAGCATGCCAGTCTCCTACACGTTTACTTCCTCTATAAGGTGACCAGAGGAGGTTTTTAATATTAAATACTTGCAGAGATGATGAACATGTGCAGGTGAAGCTGTGGCCTTTAATTCTTAGTCCCATGTCAAAGGTCTGTGTAGGAGCTAGTGACACTGAGCAGCAAAAGGAGTTGGTATTAACACTTGGCATGACCTTTAGGGGCTATTAGGCCTCAGGGCTGAAGTGGCACCAAGAGTTCAGAGTAATAAACAGTATCTTGACATTGGGACACCCAGGTCATATTCCACACCAGGATCTGCCTATCCTGGTGTGGAATGTACTAGATTCACTATCTAAGTGAATCACTTATTTGTTGTGCGTGCAAAGGGGGCCCCAGGAAGAGGTATAGCTCTGCGCTCAGGAGAGGGGTGGCTTTGTTAATGAAAACTCTCCCAAGATACCAAAGCCACCCCAGACCATTCCTATCCCTGAAAGCATACAAAAGATTAAATATATTTAAACCTGGAATGGTTTGAATTCTGCTTTTATATTCTTCTTCTATTAGCTCTCTTTAGTTAAAACGAGCAAATTTGCTGTTCATTCCTTACCCTAAGCAGAGACTTTCCACCTATAGCCCTGGTCCTATTCACTCTCGCATTCGTTAAGAACCTGGTTCCACATCTTTGGCAGTTGAGACCCATTTAAATCCCCGTTTCTGTATAAATACTGCTTCTGTTTTTGTGGAGGTTCAGTCCCCAGTGATCAGCAAGCTATTACTGCAGTGCAGGCTTCTTATTTTGCAGCACAGCTGTCCTGCAGACAGAATAATGTATATTTTCACTCTAGGGAAGGCACAGCAACCTTTTATTGCTGCAGCTCCTGGTGTTATAATAATTAGATTGACGTGCCCTGCTGGCAAATGAGGAGAGTCTTCTGACTCCTGAGCTAACAACAGTTCCCAGCATGTCCTAATAACCTGGTTTGCTTCTCCTCCACACAGAAGGAGAGCTGGATGAAGAGCACTGGGGAAAGCACTTTGCAGACTGTGCTGGCAAGCGCCAATCTCCAGTTGACATCCAGAGGAAAAAAGTGAGGTACAACCCGCAGTTGCTGCAGCTGGAGCTGAGTGGCTACGATGGGCCTTTGCAGGGGGATTTCACCATGACCAACAATGGTCACTCTGGTAAGACCAGGGGGATTCTTCTCATTACCTGCCTAAAAAACAGGAGCTGGCCAAAAGGTCATTGCTGGCAAAGGAGGAGCCTGAAACAGAAATCAGGGCACAGAGCACAAGGAGTTTAGTTGGTCCTGCAGCAGCTTGAGCTGTCAGTCACCTTTCTGTCAGAGAAGCAAAGCACCAAAGGAGCAAGTGTTGCCTGCCCCCATCAGTCCCATTTTGCCCCCTGAGCAAAATGGGGCTAACGCTTTGTACATGCATGGACCACTGCACACGCAGCATCCAGAGGCATCCCATGCACTGTTTCCATGACAGTGGGTGATGCTGGCAGCCAGCAGCACAGGGAACAGGTCAGCAGCAGCCAAGCAAAGGCCTTACGTTTTTGAAATGTGGATGTCTTTAATGGTAGCTCTGAAAACTCACCCCTTTTATCCAAACCTCTTTGCTAGCATCCTGATGAGTTCAGGATTGCATCATACTGGTTTGAGTCCTGCAGTGCATTTGATGGGAGAAAGCACATACCTTCCTGCTGGGACAGCTAATGGAAGAGATGCCTGAACCTGACAACTTTCAACTTTGAAGCTATAAAATAGGCTGAGGTGTATCCTCTGGAGGTTTCACCTGGCATTTCTAGCACACACAGGGTATGGGAAGAGCTCCTGTGTGTTCACCTCAGCACTTTACCCTAACTAGAACACAGTCACAAACCTCTTCTGGGCAGCCAGTGTCACTAGGCTGAAATGGGGTGGAAGGAGCCAGCTTTACCATAGCAATAGACAGTATTTTCTTCCCTAGCTCAGATATCCTGGGAGGATGTCAGGCTTGTTACAGTGCAGGAACAGATTATTCATTTTAGCTGATTGAAATGCTATTCACACACAATGCCCTTTTTCTTTGAACTCACCTTACTTTGCTTTGCATCTCACTTCATTCTGCTCCTGTAGTTCTGCTGTTTTCCCTGATCACACAGGAAAGCTCTCCAGAAACATGTGTATATACCAGAGAAATAAAAAGCCAGTTATGTTCCTGCAAGATATTTTCTCTGCTAGGCATCAAAAAGGGATAAAAGGCAAATAGAGCATTATAGATTGACCCTTTCATTCAGTGTAGTGCAAGACTGCAGGACTACAGCAGTGAGTGGTATTTGGGGCATACTGACTCCTCTCTGCATTTAGAAAATGCACCTTTTGCAATAATAAACGATAGGAATGGAGAACCATAGTTCAGTAGCAGGTTTGTGTCTGAGGTTTGGTTAGATGCAGGTCACACAAAGTACAACACAGAGGAGAAACCCTCCCTTCTAGTCAGATGATTGGTATTTCAGGTCTCGGGAAGAAAAGCTGAAGCACAGCATGGGTTAAAAGCCTTGCCTTTGGCCGCACAGTCTTGGGGCAAGGTTTATAAATTAAGAGGTCCTGGATTCCCCTGCTGCAGTCTGTAATTCATTGCCTAAATAATTCATCAGCTGGTACTGTTGGGATAATGCTTTTGGACTACAGATGAGCAACAAGGGAATTTTCTAATAGCTGCAGTGGGGAGGGAATGAGTGTTTCTGGGAAGGTGTTTGGAACACAAAGCTGGTAGCTCCTTAATCCTGCACAACAGTCCTTTCTTCCTCTAACAGAGACAGAGAGAAATATGGTGTGAGGGCAGGAGATGAAGTGATGAGACACGTAATGCCTTCAGAGAAAGACCGTGGTGATTGTGTTTCTTAAAACCGTAACTCCTGTTTGTCGCCCTCACAAGCTCAACATTCAGTTAAAGCTCTCATGTCAGCATTGTTACCCTGACTGCCTACAAATGAATTCCTGCAGGTGTAGCTTTCAGACCTGACTGAGCATGTGTATTTTCCTGTTCTTTTTTTAACATCAAAACAATGGTTTTCCCATGCAGGGCATTTTAGTAAAGCACAAAGGCAAATGATTGTCCTTATTCACAGCTCCTGTGAAGTCAGGCAGGGTTTTCTTACTGGCATCAGTGGGATGGGACACGGTAGCAATATCTCTGAGAAAATATTACACTGGGCCACAGCAGAAACCATTCAGCAGGCCTGAAAGGACAGGAGATGGGTTTGTCAGCAAGATTCTCCTTCCAGGCTCTGAGAAGCTGAAGATCAACCGTTTCACCTAAGAAACCAGATACACTTTCTCTCTAGTTGTATAATTACCAGGCTAAATCCCACCTGATAAAGCCTCATTGAGTGGGCTGTTAGCTGCCTTCATGCTGTCAGCAAATACTTGCTTTAGATATCTTACAGAACACTTGAGCTTGTCATAAACTCAGAGCACAATTCCCTGGCTGTGTTTTGTAGAAAGCAGAAACCATAGTGAGGTACTTGAAGCAAATAAGCCTAACTCTGGAAGGCAGTCAGCAGGGATCTTGTGTAAAAAGGTAGATTTCCCCCTCACACACTTGAGGCTCTTCAGGATATTACAAGGAAAGATGTTTTCATCTTGTCTGTCTGGAAACAGTTTACAAGCAAAAGAAGCTTCTCACTAACAGAATCTGTGACTAATGAATCATATAATGTGCCACATTTTGCAAGGGTAGTTGCTATTTTTCGTGACATGCTGTGGGCTTTTATTAGGATGAGGCAATTCCCACTTTCCCTCCTAGGTTGGCATATTTATTAAGACAATATATGATTTGTAGCAGTATATTAGCAGGAAGACAAGTGGTTCATAGTCTCTTTGTGAATGCTCCTTGGCAAGGAGAAGCAAAGAGATTTATCTCTACAAATCCTTCAAGCATTAACACAGCCTTTTCAAACTTAGGGGGCTCTGGCCCTGTATGCCTGTTCCTAGAAGATGCAGATTACAGAACACTGGAAATGATGATGACAGGTTAGAGGAGGCCAGTGACTTTGTTGATTTCCATTCCCCTTTTCTTCCTTGGAAAGAAAGCAGTTAAATCTGTGCAGAACCCTGCAAGATGTGATGTACTACATGAGAGATGAGCATTAAAGCACTTTTAGTGCCTAATTAAAAACCCAGAGCTGCTTAGATAGGAAAGATTGCAGACACAGCTAGTGCCCAGTCATTTTTGTGCCTGGTTTAGTCTTTGTGGTGCGCAAGCCTGAGGTCAGGAAAGATTTTATGCACACTTAGCTTTATGCTTCAGTGGTTTTCCTTGTATACTGGAGTTAGTTCCCTGAACATGCCTATTCCTGCTTATTTCAAGAGTTACTGGCAGAAAGCACTGGGCACTGTAAGCATAACTACAAGAATGGGCATGGCTGCACCCATTGCTGTCTCCAATCCTGTTTTTTTTCAGTTCAGATTGATTTGCCACCTACCATGCACATCTCCAGAGGGCTCCCTGGCCTCTACACAGCTGTACAGATGCATCTGCACTGGGGTGGCCTGGACCTGGAGACCAGCGGCTCTGAACACACCATAGATGGGATGAGATACTTTGCAGAGGTACATGTGAATGGAGTGAGCCAGAAGGAGGGTGCATTGCGGGTCTACCAGTTGGGAAACTGGAAGCTGCAGCCCACAAAGCCTGCACAAGCAATGCAGAGGCAAGTGGGAGAAACAGGGCTGCCACCAGTGCAGGTGTTGGTGCAGTGCAACAGCTCAGCCTGATGGTGCTGCTATAAAAGACAAAAAAAAAAACCATAGCACTAATATCCTTCAAGTCTGGAGTTGTTCCTCCACATTTCATCACAAACCTATTAAAAAAAAAACTGTAGAAAGGTCTGCTTGGCTGTGCTGTAAGGCACAAGCAGCAGGAATTGGGATGGTGACTCCCCCTTCAGTCTGCACTAGGTCCTTTGAAGCACAGAGGAAAGCCATTTATCACTTCTTGCTGACCCTGTCTCTCTTCTGACAGCTGCACATTGTCCATTACAACTCAGCTGACTACTCGAGCTTTGAAGAAGCCAAAGACAAACCAAATGGACTGGCTGTGCTTGCCTTCCTGTATGCGGTAGGTTTGATGCCCAGGCTGCTGAGCAAGGCCAGTCTGTGACCACTGTTCATACTGTAATCACAGGCCAGACACAAACAGCCTGTACTATGCATGTCTATCCTAAGAGATGATACCTGCCACCAGCTTGAGTAAACTGTGCTTTAGGAGGACTATTCTTCCCTTATGCCACAATACCAGCCAATACAACTTGGGAGCCCCAGATAAATTTGTCCCGTAAGAAGTACACATGGAATACCAGGTGTGACAGCAGGGTATTCCCTGCTGCACTTCAAAGCCTTGCTCTGATTTGCAAATGGGGGCACTTCATTTTGTTTAGAAGTGGTGAAAAGGGATCCTTACAGTTCACCATTCTCCCTGAGATCTACATGTACATACCTCGTATCATACCAAGATATCTGAGATAGTGTCTGTTCTCTTTGTCTTCCAATTCCTCAATTAGTCCCCCAAACTGATTAATAGTATGGAAGCACAGGCAGGTCACTAACCTGTTCAAGTTGCTATGCTGTGTTTAGGATGGACACTTTGAGAATACCTACTACAGTGAATTCATTTCCAAACTGGCAAAAATCAGGTTTGCAGGTAAGACCCGGGAATGCTTTTCTCCATCCTTCTCAAAGCCTGTACATGTGTACTGGCTCTGGGAAAATTTTACTGCTACTTTGCTTGCTGTTACATAGCCAAGCACAACTTCACACTGTCCCTGCCCATGCAGCTCAAACATCAGCCCGCACAGCAGGGTGGGGTGGAAGATGCTTAAGGCAGCAATAAACATCCTCCTGGTAGGTCTACGCATCACACTGCAGCACCATCAAATAACAACTTCCTATGATCCTTCAATCCATAAGCCCAGATAGCAGATGCTCTGCTGCTCTAATACATGCTGTTTTCTGGGAGGACTAACAGCTACTGGCATTGCACTGATTTGCAGTTCCCCACCACATCCAGGACCCCACATAGTTCTGAACAACAAATAGATCTATTGAAAGGACCTTTTATTTCCCTCCTTCATCCACTTCTGCCAACAGTCTAATATACCAGTGCTCTGGGCAGAGTGATTTGCCAGCCCCAGCTCTAACAGTGCTTTCACCTTTCTCTTTGTTCCCCATTAGTTGTTAATATTCCCTCTCTGTTTCCTTCTGAGGTCAATCGACAAAGCTTCTTTCTCTGGATGTCCAGGCCATGCTGCCAGAAAACCTCTCACACTTCTACAGGTACCAGGGCTCACTGACAACCCCACCTTGCTCTGAGAGTGTGATCTGGACCATCTTTCATTCTCCAATTCTCCTGTCACACACACAGGCAAGTGACAGCTTCACCAGACAGAGCAGCTTCTCTTTCCTCCACACTTCACCTTTTCATACAAGCTTGCTTTTCTGTTCTCCAGTGAATTGGGGAACAGCCTGGCAGAGAGGCTAACGGGGCACTTCTACAGGGCTTTTGAGGATATACTCCTAAGTAACTGGAATTGCAGGTGGCTGGAATGACACTGTGATTCGACATCAGAGCAAGAGCCAATTTCTGTATAGCAGCAGTTTACCTGAGGTCTGGTGAGCAATAAAAAAGCTCTCTGCCCAGTTAAGCTCAACCATACTGAAGCACTACCAAAAGGAAAAAAAAGTCAGGACCAACAAGGGAAAAACTACTGCAATAAAGTCCAGCCCTCCCCCAAAACCCATAAAAGAGCCATTCATAACATTAAAATAATTACTGAATAATTGGCACATTTTTAAAGAGCATTTCAAGTTTTTTTCTTGTCTACACTTACACTGTGCAGCTAGATTGGGTCACTTCAGGAACAGCCTGTTGAGAGTTTTGGCTCTGTGATAGGAGAGGGTTCATCCAGGTTCCAGTGGAGGCATTACAGAGAAACTTGTTGAGTGCACAGGAGCACTGGGCAGTAACCCCGCTTCTCCCAGCAGTTGAATACCGTCACATGGCAGCGTACCCTTCTCTCTGTCTGCCTTGTCAGGACAAAGGCTTTAGCAGGGAAAAAGTAACACAAGTCAAATTATCTTTCCAGTGAGTTGCAGAGTGGTTCATCCTCCTTAATGAAAGAGAAGCATTAGAAACATTTTCTTCTAGGAGAAGAACAAGATAAAATGGAGATTACAGTAGTGGAGGATCACAGTGTGTCCTCGCTTGAAAAAGAAACATTCTTTTTGGCAGGAGAAAGGGTAATAGGCACTTGTGAGAACACAGTATGCTGTGGAATAGCAGCAAAATCTCCATCCATGCATAGCATCAGGTGTTAAAAACTTCCTTCAGGCAAATACCTTTATCATGAATTAACTGATAAGAGCCCTCATGTTCTGTTCCTTTCCCTTGCTAATACACAGCAAGAGACCCTGTGGGTTCCTCTGTAACTATTCGCTAGGTTGACTCCCGAGCTACAGGATCTGCACTGTCCTTCTTGGTAAAACCATTGTCCCCATTGCCCTCCATAATAAGCCTGTGCTGCTCACAGATCAGCCTCCTGGAGAACACCTTGCTGGACTGGCAGAATAGGACACTGCGCAATGACTACCGGCACGCACAGCCCCTCCATGGGCGCGTGGTGGAGGCCTCCTTCAGGTCCAAACCCACCCAAGGTAAAGGGAGTCAAGGCGCAGGACTCGGGCATTACCCAGGGAAGAGCAAGAAGCCAGTGTGGAGGGAGTTGAGTTGCAAATCACTCAAGCTAAGCATGCTGGAGCTCACCTTTCCTGGGAGGCGCAGCATCCCTGCACAGCAGGCGGAGATGGTCCAGTGCCTCTTTGCCCCCTGCTAACACATCTTGTTTCTAATGCTGCAGTGGTGGCTGCAGGTTGTGTGCCAGCCCTTTGTTTTGACCACGAAGGTGTCACACATCTCCAAAGTGGTGCTAAATGGCACACTAGGTTCAGGTGTGTCTGCACCCAGATGGGTCCAGAAACAGCCCTGGCATGGCTGGTTAACCAGGCACCACATAGAGGTGGGACATAGCATTTTAAAACAAAGGGTTTCCCTAAACTTCCTGCAAACTAGAAAGCAGGAAAATCTACCACGTGCAGGTACTGGCTTCCTGTAAATTCAGCTGTCTGATTGCTCTAGAACAATGCCATCTGGAAGAATTCAGCCTCAGGCTGGAACAAATCCAGATGCAGCTCCAAGACGTGAAGAGAGAGTTGCTGAATGGAGGGAGCCACATAGGTAAGAAACACCATCTGTTCTTGAGCCCAGCTTACCTTGCAAGAATGAAGAACCCACACTATACTGTCCGTGATGGCTTAAATCATGAACAGGATTGGTTCTGGTATGTGCAGGTAGGATTTTGTCCCATTTCTAGGCCATAATCTAGCTACTGTCACAGTAACTGCAGCTTTCTCCTGCAACATGTAAGCACATTTTTACAAACACTAAGGATTTTAAGCTGACAGTTCCCCTGGGGTAAATAATCATCAGCTCTCTTTTACACAAAGATGAGAAAAAAGGAAGAAGGGGAAAAGAAGGAAGTTATTTTCTCAAATAGTAGTTAAGCTTATCATCATTTCAAGCCCATTCCATGTTGGTACAACACACACGCCAGTAACTGTGGCTCAAGACAACTAAGAGTGCCAGTTCCTATGGGTGTATTCTTCAGGATCCAGGCTTAAAGGCACAGCTGGAGATGTAACAGCTGGCTTTTTGGTTGTTTCAGGTATTAAATCCAGCACTTTTCCATCTTTCTACTTCCCTGTGGAAAACATCGAGAGTTTTGTGAACATTCATCCCCTCCATGATATGTCTCTCCAAGCCTTCACCTTATGCTTCTGGATCAAAGCCCAGCATGCTGGCAGCCAGACTGTTCTTTCCTACTCCACACAAGAGAAGGATAATGAGCTAGCGCTGACCGTGGGCACAGATGTGGGACTGTGGATAGGAGGCCATTTCATCAGCTTCCCCCTGTACCACAAGGCACAAGACTGGCTGCACTACTGCATGACATGGGCTTCCTGGTCTGGAACAGCAAATTTATGGCTCAATGGAGCAGCTGGTAAAGCAAAGAGTATCCAGAAGGGGTATGTGAGCCAGGCTGGAGGGACCCTTGTCCTTGGGAAAGACAGAGACATTCTTCTTGGGACGTTCTCCAATGGCTTTGCAGGGTGGATGACTCGGGTGAACCTGTGGAGCCAAGTTCTCAGTCCTGCAGATATTCGGGCACTTGCACTGTGCAAACCAGGGCACCTGAAAGGAGACATCATAGCATGGGGAGAAACCCCCATGACCCTCTTGGGGGGGGTGGTTCTGGAGCCTGACACCAGCTGTCAGTGACCCCAAATTTGGTTTTTTTTTCCTTTTTTTGAATTAAGGCAGCAGAAAAATCCAAACTTCTGGCTGAGGAAACTTTAAAACCTGGATGATTTGCTTGTTTCTCCTTCTGCTTTGCATAGGCTCACTATGCCCCTGCTGGTGTTTCAGGTTGGTTTTCCAAGAGAGCAAAGCCTCCAGCAGTGGGATAGAGGCAAAGAACAGACAGAACATGGCACAGTCCAACACCTTGCGTTGTCACACCCCTCCCAGGAGTTTGATTTAGGCTCCCCATACACAGATCTTCCTATCTGCCAAAGGGCTTCTCTCTTGGGTCAGAGGAGCCACTTTATCAAATAAAAGTTTCTCTCATCCTTCACCCAGTCTCAGTTTCTCACCATCTTCCCCACATGGATCCTTCCTTCCCATCTCTCACCATCAAATCACCACCCCTTCCCCTGCAGACATCCCACAGGAAAGAGCAAGCAAAGCCCTTACAGACAGAATGTGACTCCTGTGGTCACCGAGCTTTGGTCAGTGGCATGCCTTCTTTTCTGTAAATGGATGTAGAGGCAGAGCATGGAAACAGCTGCTTCAACATGAATACATCACAAGCTGGAGGGCAGGCATAAAACTCATCTTCTAAGTCAATCATGTGAAGGAATCTCCATCAACACCACAAAATCCATGCCAGCCTGTTCAACAATTCTGCTTTTTTACAAAACAGAGGACAGCCATCCCACATAACAATTCATTTCCCATAGTAAATTATGCCCCAGTTAGCCCCAAACCCCCTTACACTGAAACACTTCAAAAAGCACGCAGTTTTCATCAGTGTGCACTTTACTTTCTTCTCAGTCAGCACCAGTCCTTAGACTCAAAGCTTTTCTGAGTGGAATAGTGCCTTAGGGAACATAACCAGAAACCAGTAGAAGGACCAAGCTCTAAACCACCTAAAGACTTTTTCAAGTGGTTTCAAGTACCTGAGAGCTGAGTTATTTCAAAAACTAGATTTAAAGAACTCAATGTGAGAAGCTAAAGACAAGCTTGGACTTGTTTGCAAACACAAGTAGCCCACTGCACAGGAATCAACCTGAATCTGACTCCTGCAGCAAGGAAGTTCAATGTTATCTATTTGTGGGGCTGACTGAGCTTCAGCTGACTCATACATACAAAGTAGTGATATGGGGGTTATTAAAGGATCACTCTTTGGCAACTGAAGTGTAAACACTAGGGAGTGCAATGAGCTAAATAGCTTTGTGCCACTGGAACAAATGGGTATAAACTGGTCCTGAATAAGCACCAGCCAGGTGGGTGGTTCCTAACCTCAAGAATAAGGCTTTGGAAGGACTCATCAGCAACAGCTGAGGACTAGGTTTGATTTGAAGGAGGGAGTTCGGTGAGCAGGATGGGTGTGAGGCTATAGTGATATGCATTTCCTGTGTAGTGGTCCTTTGAAGCACACAAAGGACAGGTGTTGACTGGGTAAATGCCTTTAGCAGCCCACCTAACAAAGTACCTGAGAACTGACACTTTCTCTACCCCAGAGCAAAGGCCTGGCAGTTCCTCAGAGGAATATAGTACAACCCTTGCACACAACTGACCAAAACCCAAGAGCTGGCTTGCGCCACTTGAGATGTATCAGAACATCAGGAACATGTATCACCACATGGCACAGGTTATTTGATCACAGAAACAGAGCTGGCTGAGGATACTGCCCTTTCCATGTTACAAATACTCTCAATGGGTAATTTGCTTTGGCAGCGGCTATAACATGAAGTAGGGTGGTCTTGTTAATAGACCTGTTGGAGTGAGTCTAGAGGAGACCACAAAGATGCTCTGAGGGTTGGAGCAGCTCTGTTCTGGAGCCAGGCCAAGACAGCTGGGCTGGGTCAGCCTGGAGAAGAAAAGACTCCTTAAAGGGAGACCTTAGAGCAGCTCCAGTGCCTAAAGGGGCTGCAGGAAACCTGGAGAGGGGCTTTGGACGAGGGATGTAGGGACAGGCCAAGGGGAATGGCTTTAACCTGCCCGAGGGGAGACTGAGATGAGCTCTTAGGCAGAAGCTCTTCCCTGTGAGGGTGCTGAGGTGCTGGCACAGGGTGCCCAGAGAAGCTGTGGCTGCCCCATCCCTGGCAGTGTTCAAGGCCAGGTTGGACACAGGGGCTTGGAGCAAGCTGCTGTAGTGGAAGGGGTCCCTGCCCGTGGCAAGGGTTGGAATTGGATGAGCTTTAAGGTCCCTTCCAACCCAAACCATTCCATGGTTTGGGCTGGATTACTCATAATGAGAACATTCTCAAGACACAATGGCTTATGTGGAAACTCCTGCTGTGGAAAGCTTGCAGAAGGTCTGAATGAAGATCGGTATCAAAAAAATAATCCATGTATTTGTTCTCCCACTGAATGGATCTTGGAAAATGTCTGGGCCAACATTGGGCTGGGTCACAGCTCATGGCTGGAGATTTCCTTCTTCTCTGCCTGCCCACCTGGGACAGCCTGGAAATCCTTAAGCTCTTCTTTGTCTTCCTGAATCTCCACCTTGTTCCTCTTGGCCATGATCCTGTTGATTTCCATGAAGGTTTTGTTCTTAGTCTCAGGAACAATGATGAAGATGTAAACTATAGTGGCGAGGCAGATGCCACAGAAGATGAGGAAGCTGTAGGGCCCCAGTCCAGCCTAAGGCAAGAAAAGAAGAGAGCATGGATGAGGGCAACGTTCCAGTTGCGTACTTCACATGATTTAGACATGCTGAGCTCTGCAATAGCTAGAAAAAAAAGCAGCCACAGTGATGTGCATGTATTTTATGTTGAATGATTTAAATGATTGAATTAACTTGAAGTTAGGACTGGCTCTAGATTATCTTCTCATATCGCCACCATGGATTCATTGGAAACCACTATTGGTTCACTGGAAAAGGCAGGTGAGGGTCTGTTACAGAAGTCAAGCTAAACTCACCCTTTGCACAAGCTAAAATCACCAACTATAGCAGTGTATGGGTCACTACTGCTGGGGATCAGATTGAACTGGTGACCTTGAGAGCAAAAGCTAAGATTGGGTATTTGCAGTCTTGTGCATGCTCCTGAATTCTGGATCAGACATTCACATGGGAAAGTTACTGCTTTCTTTCAAACCACGTGCAACAGACAGATGCGATAAGAAAAAGCTGACTAACATCACTTTCTTGTCCTTAATATATAATCCTGCATACAGGTACTGGGAACCAACTAGGGCATTTATGGCTCTCAGGATTAAAGGGCTCTCTGTAAGAAGACAGGGGTGAAGACACTAATTTTAAGCTGAAGTCTTGCCCTGTTGTGCTATTGCATCTTACCTCCATGTAGAGGAACACAAGCCCCACAGTGAAGTTGGACAGCCAGTGCACAGACCCACCCACCATGAACGCTGCAGGCCTGGATGACTGCAGGAACATCTCGGTGATCATCACAAAGGGAATTGGACCTGGAAGGGAGTTGCACATTTGGAAATCCCAAAGGGAACTCCCCTGCTTTGAATTCCCAGATGACACTGTTCATTTCAGTGGCAGGCAATAGATGTTAAAGTACTAGTACTAGTGTTTAGAAACACCCATTACATCAAATAAGGGATGAGATTAAGAAAATACAGGGCATTTAAATGAGCTCACACACAGCAACCAACCTCTTTTCTCCCATGGCTGCACCTCAGCCATGAGCCCATCTCCAGTGTAAGTTGTAAAATAAGGTTGATGAACACAAACTGTCTCTCCAGAGAGTACCCCATGAGCAGTGACTAAGCAAGACTTGCTCTTTGGGCAAGAAACAGACTGTGTTCTCATTAACAGGTCCAGACGACCTGGTGCTCTCCCTCCAGCAATGTCCCTGCCCTCCCTGCTTCAATCTGCATGGTGGCATAAATGGAGAAGGAAAGGTTGTGTGCAATTCCATCTGCTATAAAACCTCTACAGGAGTTTGGATGCTGCATTGCTGCAGCTGACCAGACAACTCCACCATGCTGAGAAGCTGAGTCAGGACAAAGCCTTCCCAATATCCACATCTATCTGCACATCTCCTTTCTGCAAAGCCATCTGCAGGGCCATGGGTATAATTTGCATTGCTTCTAATTCGATGTGTTGCCCACAGATGCAAGCATGCCACATCCCTGCCCAGCTGTGAGGCTCACTAGCTCGGCATAGTTTTGCCCCAGGTTTTACTTGGGGGATATCAGACACAAGCACTGTTGTGCCTTTGCTCTTCCTGACAGCCAGATGCTCCCCTGCCTCACAGACACAGGCAGCTCCTCACTGCAACATAAATAAGCCTAGCAGACAATCCACACAGTGCATGGCCGCACAGAAGAAATTCTATCTCCACCTCCTTGGATTAGCTCCACAGAGCTTTTGGTTTGAAACTGAACGTAACACTTGGCTTTCTCCAGCTTGTGGAGGAGACAGGACCAGTCTGTGCATACTTACTGGCTCCAATAGCATGTCCCATGATGTAAACGATGACACACACTATGCTGAGGTAAGACATCCATGAGACAGTGGTCTGTGAAGAAATTAATCACAGATTACATGCGGTCCCTATCTGAGCATCACCAGCACATTCAAGGCACTATTTGCAGTAAGATCTGAAGGCATTCTAAAGCCAGCATCACCCTCCATTGCCTGATACATACACTCTTAACCACAAAAAATCATAGCCTGGGTATGATCCTTGCTTCCAATAAATCAGTGCAACAGGTATTATGAACATGATGTGCTGGAAACAGCGCTCAGACAAGGAGGATCACAACTTTTCCTGGCTTTACTTTAGTTCATATTATTCCCTCCTTCCCAGGGTGTAGAAACAACTTCAACACATACCAATGGTTCCCTGAACAGTCCAGAAATGCATGGGCAACATCACCTGAGCTATCCAGCTACACACCTGGAGATTGAGAGCCATAGTTAACACTGCACAGGAGACACAGCAAAATCCAAAGCCAGCAAGGAGGAGGATTCTCCTTCCCAGGGATTCCACAATGAAAACCTGAAAGAGACAGAAGAGGGTGAGAGACCAGGCATGGGGCACAGCACTTACTGCAGCAGAACTTATAGTCTTTGTCTCTTAAGAAATTCAGTGCCATTGCCACCGTCTGCTGATGGTCAATCACTTTGGGTAACATAGCTGCCATCAACCAAGGGCCACTCCAGGGCATCTATGGTGCCAAGCAGCTCACAGTATGTGTAAATAACATAACCCAATTTAACCCGTGACAGGCAGGGGAGACTGGGCAAGCCAGAACTTGAAAAGCCCTAATAGAAACTTACAGCAACCAAGGTCATGACGACGTTGATGGCACCTATGGACACAGTGACATACTGAACACTGTTGTCATCCACTCCTGCCGACAGGAAGATTCTGTCTGCGTAGTAGAAGACCTGCAGCAAAACCACAGCTGTGTTTACACGGGACCAAAGGCAGAACATGGGAATCCCAGGCTGGCTGCTTTTGCATCCTGGAACTGGTGCACAGGAGCCTGAGAACCAGTTCTTTCATTTCTGGACAATGCTGTTTGGATCCAGGCACAAGCACCTTACTCTAAAATGTCCAAACGATCCTTAACAGGACAGCTGGACTGTATCTAGTACATGTGTGTACTGGATTTGGGTCAGCACTGCCCCACATCACCCACTGTAAAGCCCCATTCTCCTACTACTCACCCCACTGGCTTTTCCCATGTGCCTTCCCACTCACCCCATTGACCCCCGAGAGCTGCTGGCCCATCATCATGACAATGATGGAGATGAGCTGCCACCTCAAGCCTCTGAAGGTGCACAGGCTGAATACAGTGAACTGTCCTTCTTCCTTTTCTGACCGGTCTTCTTGGCGCATCTCTTGGATCTCATCATCCACATCATCCCGGCCTCTCAGCTTCTGCAGAGCTAGTTGGGAAAGGAAAGCGAGTTATGGACCCCAGAGAGCAGGCCTGCAGCGAGCTCTCCTGCTTCAAATCAAGACAGAACACTGTTCCCACCATGGGCAGCAGTGCTTCCATGGTGGCAGGTCAGGGATTCACATATGCAGAGAAAGGAGCAATGCTGCAGGAGCTCCATCCGCCAGCAGCGTCAATGGAGTTTTCTACACTCGCTTCACTGCTGGTTGCTGTCAATCATGTCCCACAGATCTTCCCCCTTCCATTAGAGGATGATACTGTACCTCGCCGTGCTTGCTCTTCATTGCCCTTTTGTATCAGCAAATATCTGGGACTCTCAGGGAAAAAGGGCAATATAAGGAGCTGAATTAGCGATGGGATCCCAGTGAGCGCCAGCAGCACGGGCCAGCCTGCAACAGTGAGGCAAGGTGACAGCTATGAGACATCTTCCCCCTGTGGGGGCCACAGAAACAAGTCCCAAGCCAGGAATTTACCTTTGGCATTCCCAAGGATGATGTTGAGACCAAGGATCTGAGCTATAAGGATCCCAATGCTGATGAAGAGCTGGGGTACGATCCCAATCGCACCTCTCAGATTTCTGGGGGACATTTCTCCAAGGAACATGGGAACCACGTTGGAAGCCAGACCTAGTAGAGAACAACGTTAGACATGCAGTGCCTGGCAGCAGCACACCCACTGTCTTTACTAAGATGCCTTTTTCCTACATGAGGCCGAAGCAATCCCTGCTGGACCAGAGCAGGAAACCTCACGCTCAAGCCCTTCTGCTCCAGCTGACTTTAGTGTCATCTTCTGGCCAGTGCATAAGCTGTGTGTGTTCTCCTCACTCTTCAGTGGAAGATGGGACAAAACACACATGGCATTGGTTCACTCAGTACATGGAGAGGTACCAAACCCATCACTGCATCTGGTACCCTCAGAAGCTCTGGCTTTGGGAGTGCAACCTGCCCACCTTCAAAGCAAAGCACTACTTGGTTCTGTGAGGCTCTAGCTTCAATGCTCAGCAGCAAAGCACTTAAAGAGCCTGAGAAGGCAGCAGTAGGCTGTGATCTGGGCAGTCTCAGTGCACATAAAAATAGCTCCCAGCAGCGTCTGCCAAGCCCTTCAACACGATACGTGGAAAGAATCCTGTGTGCTGCTTCAGAGGTGCTCACACCCCCAGGATGCATGGGAGGGATTTATGCTTCCTCTAAAACAAGCAGAGAAATCAATATCCAAACTGATGTAAGGGTGGAAGGATGCAACCTCTTGCTGGCCTTTATCAATTCACTGCTCCTTTGGTTGCTTGGTAACGCTTCCCAGAGAGCTCTGTTGGTCTGAGATCTCTTACCAGCACCATGCTGGAAGAGGTATTTAAACTCGAATAGCACATGGGGTATTTTGAGGAACACTGCATTGTAACCCACTGTAACCCCAGCAAGCTGCCAGCTCCATGGTTACGCTGTAAATCCTGGCATGTAAACCCCAAAGTTCTGGGGTCAAATGACCATGAGACTCTCAGCTTTCATTTCTCAGCTTCCTAGCTTTCAGGAACACGGAGTTAGAAAGCTGTCGTCTGGAAGCAAAAGGCTTGGGAGCAAGTATTTAAGGAACCAGAAAACCCTATACAAGTAAACTCATGAGATGCAGTAGTTTAAGTTTATATTATAAACAGCCTTTTAGTTGCCCAGATTAAAACATGCCAGCAGCATGGACTACTGCAGTCAAGCAACAGCATGTTTCTTACTGCTCAGACCAATGCTGATCAAGGCCTGCCAAGAGGGGCCCTGCGTACAACAGCGCTGCCAGCACCACAGCCACCCTTGACCAGGCAGGGCTGCACTTGGATCCTACCAGAGCTCCAAGCCCCTGTGTCCAACCTGGCCTTCAACACTGCCAGGGATGGGGCAGCCACAGCTTCTCTGGGTACCCTGTGCCAGCGCCTCAGCACCCTCACAGGGAAGAGCTTCTGCCTAAGAGCTCATCTCATCTCCCCTCTGGCAGGTTAAAGTCAGTTATAAATGGCTGGGAAGAGGGGTCACCCTTGACAGGTCCTTTAGTATTTATGCAGAGATGCCATGCTAAGAGCAGCTGCCAGGCTTAGGAGAGTCAAAAGCCAAACCAAAACCACTGGAGGAGATGAATTTCCTGCCGTAGCTCACCAATTTCAACTGCTGTGTGTTACAGGTCAAGCTGTTTTCTTATCCCAGTTTCTTGTTTTCTTCTTTTATCTTTACAGGATATCCCAACTCAGTAACAAACAATGGGGAACATCAGTCTAACCAGCCCAAAGCCAATGAACTGAGTCTAAATGCTGTTATAGGACCCTTACCAACGTGGTTTTGCTCTGCTTGGTATAATGCTGCCCACCCCTTCTGTGTTTGTTCCCTATTACTGTAGCTGTAATACAGCCACTTACACCAGTAACACACCCCCCCCCTTTAATGCTTCTTTCCTCCTGCAGGAAGAACAGTCTGTTCCAGCACTGGATCATTGGGTCTGGCATCATCTCCAGTGACTCTGACTTGGAAAGATTATTCTGTTTCTAATTATATTAAAGAGAAAAAAAGACAAGAGGGGTGTGTGCACAGAAAAGGCAAGCAAGGCCTTAAAATGGCTTGTAAGATTATCAGGAGCAGCAGAAGGTGTCCTGGCTGTTGGAGCTCCAGTGCCTAGCAGGTGCTCATTGCAGAGGATAGCTGCATCTCAGACACATATCTCCTCTGTACATCTCACATTCCAGTCTCTCTGCTCTTGCCTGCTGTAGATCTTTACTACTCCTGCAACGTGCAGATGACAGCTGTGATTCAGGAACAGCACTGATATGCAGATATATGGCTAAAACCTGTGAAACCACCCTTTGTGACAGTAAAACACCTTTACATAGCCAAGAATGTATTTGTTGGTCTCCCTTCACCATCCACTTACCAGCAAATATTCCCATGATAACACGTGAAAAGATGATCACTTCATAGGTTTTTGCTAGCTCTGAAGTTCCCATTAGGATTGCAGCAGAAATAGATAAGAGGTTACTTATCAGCAAAGTGCCCTTTCTGTGAGGTAATAGAAAAGGAGACAGATTCAGTTGATTTTCTGTCTAAGGCCTCAGCAGCAGAGAGATCCCCTCTGTGCCACAGTGTCCAAAACTCAAATGAATCACCATCCCAAGGACTACTCACAGGGAAAACGGCTGCTGTCCCATTTTCCCTGCAGGGAATGAAGGCTTTGAGATGATCTTGAAGGTCTTTCCCAACCCAGCTGATTCTGTGATTCTCAGGAAACCCAAGCAGCAGAAGCTGGGCCTGTTCTCAGACTTTCCTCTTTGCTCTTTACCTGGCTCAGTGCCCAATATATGGCCTTGACCACATTGAAACCATGTAAGATCTTCTACACATGGGAAACAACACATGCTGCTGAGCCCAGTGGCTGATCACCAGCCTATCTGCCTTACAACCAACGTGCATGACGCTGTCATGCTCCTGGATGGGCTTGGCAAGCCTTATCTGAGCCCAGAAACTGCTGCTCAAGGACCTTAAACACCACGGTCACGTACCGGCCGCAGTTGTTGACCAGAGGCCACACCATGAGGGACCCAAAAAAGCCACCCAGGGGGTACATGGACACAGTAAGAGACCAGAGCAGCGTCTGGAAGCCACTCTCCATAGGCACTCCACTCCTGTTGTAGTACGTTTGGTTGTAGAAGTCTTGCATGTACTGGAATAAAAGATGCACGTTTAGCACAGTGAGTAAAGCTTCCATGCTCCAAAAGCTAGTCATGTCATAAAGCTTTAAACAAGCATTGAAGAAATGAATGCAAGAGATGGGGATGGAGAAGCCTGGACTAAGTAACTGCTAGTACGAGTTATCCTGCCTTATGGGATCTGCCTGCTATCCCAAAGGGAAGGCATTTCTCACGCCCAGTCTCTCCTAGGCACAAAGTCCAAACTGGGGCACCATACACCTTAACACCCCCTTCCTTTCCAGGGGAACCACTTCCCAGCTCCAAAGCATGGAGAACTCCAAGCACCTGCCCACAAACACCCATAACCCACTGGTACCCTCCTGCCTTGTTTTGCTCATAAACCTCCTCCCGGGTCATCGTCCACTCCATAGTCCAACCTACCGGGGCTGGAGAATTGATCACAGACACGTTGTACCCATACTGGAAAGAAGATCCAAAGGCAGATATCAGCGTTACCGTTGCAAGCACAAGTGTCATTTTCTGCAGGGGGGAGAGAAAACATAAACCCCACCTCAGCAGCAGGTTTGGACTGGGGCATAAATGGCAGTCAGTAAAAACAAATACCCTAAGACTTGCTTTTCACTTCATGTTATTCTATAGACAAAGCCCAATGGGTTGTTCTCATTAAAACTCGGTCTGTTCTGCTTGATTTGCACATAGTCATTACAGTAATTGATTCTGCCCTTTCCTGGTATTGATAGAACACTTGGATGATGAATAATTGTCAAGTTACCATGCTTAGAATACCCTCCCTGCAGGGAAAAAGGTTGTGTGCAATTATCCTTTCCCCAACGTGCAATTGGATAGTGAAATAACACAGGATATTGGCACAGGGAAGCTTTAAGAAGAAGAGGTTTTGGATGAAGTGACAAAATCCCTTTCCTGCTCATTTGTTCTGCCTCCCACATTTCAGGATCAAGCTCTTTACGACTCTAATCCGATTGCCACTGAAGCCAATTAGAACTTATCCAAGTAGCTCAGCCAGGGCTTGGCTGTGGGGTATAAGAGCAGCTCTTTGCAGTTAAGCAGAAGGGTGAAATTGCGACTTGGAGTAGGACCAAGCACTGGCCATGTCTGTGGGTGCAGACCTCAGGGTTACGAGCAACTCGCTTTTCGCAATGCTTCCATTGCTATTTAGTCCTCAGCCTGCCCACCCTGTGTTGGCTGGGCTGGGCTGCAGTTTTTAGTAGCTCACTAATAGCTCCCATTGCTGCTACATCAATAAAGTCATTTTTCATTCAGAAGTATTGTTTCTGTCAGCACCATTAGCCTTCATGTCTGCAAGGCTTTATTTATGTCGCAACACCCAAGTCGGGTCCCACACACAGGAGCTGTCATTTCCCTAATGGAACGTATCGTCCAAAGAGCTGCTGGTAGCCCTTAGATTCCCTGTATTCCTCAGCAGCTCACCTCCAGAGACCTGCAGAGTTTAAGGCACTACAGAAGATCAATCCCAGCTGATCTCAGAGTAACGCTCAGGAGGAAGCTGAGGCTTCCAGCTCCTTTTTCTCGTAGACTGCTGCCACTGTGGCCCTGGTGATGAAAAGCAGGCTGCCTTCCCCTCATCCAACCAACCCCAGGAGCTCCAAAGAGCCGCTGCTGTTAACTGCTCACATTCAGCACCCTTAGGAAAACCCCGGGCACACGCGAGCATTGCATTGAGCAAGAGTCCGCAGAAACGCTGCTGCGAAAGGCAGCCCCCATCCGGAAGCATCCGCAGCCTAAAACTGATGGGGAAGGAGGGCAGAAACCCCACACGCAGAAGGGGAAAGCCACACAGAAGGTCCACGGCAAGGCAGAGAACCTCGAGGCACATAAACGGGGCTCAGGAGCAAACACCCCGTGCCCTCCCTGTGAGCTCCGCGTGCACGTGGCAGCCCGACGGCTCTCGGTGGTCTCCTACCTGCAGAGCTCGCCCTGTGCCGCGGTGGGAGGCTCAGGTGGAGGACCAGACCCTGCGCACTTACCCCCCGGGAGCCTTCATTGCTGGCAGAGCTCCGCTCCTCCCCTTTCAACTTCATTTTGGGGTCTGAGCCACGGCCACCGAGCCCAGGCTTTTATAGCCCAAACAGAGCAGGAAGAGGAGAGGAACGCCCTGCGCAGACAATCCCCCTCTGGCCTCGCAGATAACATCCAATCAAAGGCAGGCTCTAGCAGTTGAAGCGAGCTGTTGCTCTTCTCTGACCATTCTCTTCCTCTGCGTGACTGCCTCGTGACTTCTCTTTCTTTCTCCTCGGTCGAGCCCGTCGCCGTTGGGTCAGATACTCTGCTGCCAGAGCCCGGCTCCAAGCAGATGTCCCGCCCGGCTGCAGCGAAACAGGCTCCTCTGCCCCACAGGAGGGGCAGACCTATTGCAAAAGCGGCTGAACGAGCTGTTTCCTGCAGCTATATATACACAGATAAGTGCGGAGCAACAGAGCTGCTGCAGCTGTGCAGAGGCTGCCTGGCAATCCTTGCGACATGGAAAATGGGGCGTTCTGCGGGGCCCCTGGCAACAGAGAGGATGTTTGCCGTGGGCCACAGCATCAGCCTGTGTTAACCCTTCTGCAGCCTTCAACTGCACGTCTGCCCTTGGGCCGGAATACTCCTTATTGTCCTGCCTTGCCCAGACCAGCTTGCTCAGGGCACTTTTGCAAGGCACAGGGAACAGGTTCTTCCCCTCAGGTTTGTTTTTGACAGCGCACAGAACACAGCTTTCCCACCAAAGCACATTAGCTCCTTTCCCTCTCATGCCAGGTACGCCACGTGTTGCTGGCTTAGTATTAACCCCCTGCACTGTGCGAGTACTTTGAACAGCACAGAACCTGGTTAATAATCGACTAAGGTTTCCAGAGTGTATCAGAGAAATGCAAAGTTCACAGATACCTCCAGCAGCTGGAGAGACTGGAGCCAAACCTCGCTATTATTGGCCCATCTATCTTTAGCAGCCAGTTGTTCATGTGCCTTGCATGCATTCTTTGACTGGCTGCAGCCTCCTTTCCTCCAGGTGAAAGCATCCTGTGCTAAAAATAGGAAGGGGAACAGAGCCCTGGTGCTTTCAGGGCAGTGGAACCGAGCCCTTAGGTTTGTTGTCATCTGGGTTTTATTGTATTTGACTACTATTGCACTTTGTTATCCTCAAGGACAACGTTTGCTGGGATATCTTGACAGCGGATCACACCTCAAGAACACTCCTGAGTCTTTCAGGAACTGCTCCTGCTGCTCAGTTCCCATTACCACATGGTGCCTTAGCTAAACAGAACTGAACATGCATTTCACCCATAGCTCATCTTCCTCCGCATTCCCACTGGGAGGATGGAGCTAGCTGGCACTAACCAAGATGCTCCAAGCTCAGCTTTTCCCATGCTGCCTTCAAACACTGCTCAAAGCACCCCACACCAAATGGGACAGGCCATAGCTCACTCAGTAACAGGTTTAGCTCTCACTTTCACAGCTCTTTGGCCAGAAAAGGGAAAATGGAAAGCAAGGGGTGGGGACATTGCGAGCAGGACCAATTCCTTACATGGAATTCCCGTACTTTAAAGACAGCATCATTCCTATGGGAGTTCTTGGCAGAACGACCACAGTAATTACCGAGTATCAGCCACTGTAATACTCTGTAATTACAAGGAAGGGGAACTCGCTATCATGTCTTTAAACCCTTTTCTTGACCGTGAAGGGGTAATCTTGACACATAGAGAAATGGAACAGGACATGGGTGTTTGCCATCAGAAATCCTTCACCAGAGTAAATATTTGCTTATGGTGGCGGAATGGCTTAAATGCTTGCCTGCCACAGGAAGAACCTGGTAACACCACCCAGAAGGTAGCAATCGGCACTGGGTGATCTTGGAAGGGATGAATGAAGGGAGGCAGGATGGGGAATGAACTGCCCCTTACACTGTCAAAGCAATTGCAGGAATAGAAATCCTTCAAGAGCTGAGATCCTGCTGGACCTGGGCAAAGAACAGAGCCAGTAACAGAAGAGCCAATGCTACAGGTATTGTCCAAGCACATTTTCAACTCCAGCTCCAGCACATATTAAGCTTCTTACATCTGCTCTTCACCTCAGAGTGCATTTACCTTAAGACACTAACTCCGGTCTGCATCTTCTCTGCGCTTATTCAGCACATAGTAAGGGCTCCCATGCACGTGTGCAGGGAACTGTTTAGACTCAGCCCAGTTGTCTGTGCTCAAGGCTGGATCCTATGAAACCCTGACTCTTTGGCAAGAACAGTTAAGTGGGGATTCCTGGTTTCCAGGACACTGAATCTGCTGGAGAACATCAGCAGTGAGCTATAGAAAAGTGATGGTTAGAGGGGAGCTGGACACGCTGCAGCGTGCTGATCGCAGTCCTTCTGATAAGGAGACTTATTAGGACACATGCCACAGTACATGGTCAAGAGAGTGCCATTAGCAGCCCTTTCACCTGCATTTTGGGCAGGAATTGCATGTTCAGTCAAGGCTAATTCAAAACCCACGTGCAGGGCTGAGCTACAACTGGGGCCTCAAGAGAGTTTAAGTTACAGGTTATTTGCCTACGAATAGGGCAGCTACAGATACCCCTTTATCAGCTGCATAAAAGGCTCCCAAGCTAAACAAGCAAGAGGTGGATAAGGCAGCCTGTTCCCCCTGCAATAGGAAAGGGGATTGCTGGATAAATAAGCACACACTGCATGTAAACAGTAGCAGACATGAGGCTCTGGAACTAAGTAGTAAATGGGACCCTATTTTCACTGCACAAGGACAGTGCTAGGCAGTGTTCTGCCAACCTCCTTCCTTCTCCACTGCTGCCCTCTTTGACCACCTCAGCCACCCAGACCCATCCCCAGAATAAACCCCAAAGGATCAGACAGATCTGTACACTTACCCTGCCACGAGCTGACAAGTTGGTTTGGGAACTGGGGGCCTTTCTCTTTAGGCAGGGTTGTGTGACCCACGAGACGTTTGGGGAAGGGTTGGGATGCTTGGATATTAAATCTCCATGTGCACCTTCTTCAACAGGAGCACCTGACCGTCAAAACACCCACCCTGCCCTCTCAGACCTTGCTGGGTTCATTTTCCTATGCAGGATGGGAACACCGGCTGTGCCAGCCAAGACCTGCCTTTAGCCAGCTCTTGCCACTCTGCACTGATTCCTGTGGTTCCCTCCGGGGTTATGCATACAAGATACTTGGAATTCAGTGGAGCACAGCAGACACTGTCACTGCCTTGGAGTAGCAGGAGTCACTTGTATTATGCAATCCTAAATACAAACATTAGGTTTGGCAGCATTAGAGTACTCTGTGTAACTGCTCTTCATGATGGGAAGAGATTATCCTATTGGCACAACCAGACAGCACCTTCCTAAGATGTTCTCCTCTTTACCAACAAGATCTCATCTTTCCTTACAAACACATGGTTCATTAAACACAGCTTCGAGGTTTCAAAGTAAAACCAGCGTTGCCCAAATCCTCCCATACTGCAGAGCCTTGTTCACTCCCAGAGCCCCAGGAACCATCCGGCACAGACTCGGTTCTTGGGAAGAACCATCTTGGTTCACTCCTAGCACTCCAGGAACCACGTGGCACAATCCAGACTCAGTTCGTGGGCAGAAGGGAAGAAAAGGAGAGCAGGATTTTGCAATGAATCAGTATCAACAGTACTGATAAGTAGTATAATACTACCGATAGCATGTATCGGGGAGGGCTGAACTCACCGCCTCCTAACCAGCTCGTGCCTGGGGAGTGAACAAGGGAATGCATGCACAGCTTTCCTTGCTTTCGGAAGATAACTTGGACTAAGAAGAAATATACATATAAAAGACAGGAAGAGAAAGAGATCTACAAACAGGTGGAAGATATTTGCCTTCCTTAGTCGTTAAGGTAGACATAAAAGAAACCTGAAGGAAGATCTTGCAACAGCTTCTCATCCAACTTGCCCAAGGTGCTGAGACCCATCACAACGTGCTTGAACAACGGCTTGGTAAAGAAACACAACTTTATTTTGTAGGAGTTGGAGAAAATCCTTAAAACCCAAGCCAGTGAGGAGCTGTAAATAAGGTCAAACGCTATCTCCAAACAGCAACCAGAACCCCATCCCTCCCCAGCTCCGATCCATCACTCCCAAAGCAAGAACAGACTGAAGCACAGGCACCAGGCACCATCCAGCCACTGGTGACGGCCGCCCTTGCTGGAGGCTGGGGTGTACATGCACGTATCCCTGAGCACCAAGGGGAGCTGCAGAGCTCAGATCAACTCTGGAGGCAGTAACCAACCACGCTGCCACCATAAACCCTGAGGATGACAACCCCTGTTCACCAAGGAGGAGGAATAAACCATCGAGAGGAGCTACCCATCACCACCACAGCACAGACACATTTGCACGCTGTTGTCCACAGTCAAGTGAGGGACAGGAACCAGGCTGGAGCTCCCTGGAAGACCTCATGGATTAGGAGTGAAATCCATGCCCAGAACAGCTACTTGGTTGTCCTGCCACCGTGCTATTGTTCACCCCGCAGCTCACAGCACATTTGCCTTGCCAGACAGAAAAGCAAAACCCCGAACAAACGTAACATTTATGGTGGAGGAGGGAATGGAACCAGGAAGCTGGAGCCAAGCGGTATCTTCCAGGGGACCCTGAGCAAAGTTCAAGACCAAAGCAGCCGGTGTCCAGTGCCGAGGAGGAGCAGGACCTCTTCCCTTTGCTCAGCCACTCCAGCCGTGCTTCTCCCCAGGCTTGAGCTCCCTCTGTGGGACTCTGGGATGATCCCGCACCTGCCCAGAAGGAAGCACAGTTAAAGTCCATCATTTAGCTCAAGCAACAGCTAGGAACAGGCAGGATGGGCCCGTTCCTAAACCACAGCCGGGTACTCCAACCTCAGCCTTGTTTTCCTTTCTTTTGGGGCATGTGTGTGCCTATGTGTGGTGCTTTGCTTTGATCTCCCTTAGGTTGGTGACAATTTCACTTCCTCTCTTCAGGGCTGGCTCCAATGCACTGAACACAGCACAGCTCTGAGCCTCATAGAAGTCAAGGTTTATGAGCCTGCAAGTTTCAAACACAGCTCCTCTTTCCAAGCCACAGGAGATGAACCCGAGGCCAAGCTCCCAAGGTCGCTGCTCAGCATTTAGAGGTTTAAAGCAGCCTTTTGAAAGGAAGAAGAAACCTTCCTGAAGCCATCTATGCCAGATATAAGGTGTTTGCATCTGTCCTTGCTAGAGTCCAGGGATGGTGAGGAGTGGAGCCCCTTTACAGCCCCATGAAGTGGGCCAATGAGCTTTTGAGGACTCCACCTTCCCATGTTCACACAGTGTGCAAGGGGCTTAATGTATTTAAGATAATAATAGAGTTAATGCCAAGCCTTCAATGCAGGAAATAACAGGACTCACCTCTGCCTATAGTGCCATGATGGCTGTATTGTTCAACTGCCCTGATGCTGTTAGAAAGAGCTCATGAGGCTCTGTTCTTTTTGCAAGAACTCACTATACAAACGGAAAAGAATTGTCAATTCATTTAAAAATCCTTTTTTAGGGGGAAAATTCGTGTTCTGGGAGGACAAGAACCGGTTTTGTGCTTACACACCTGCACCAATGCAGGGGCATCAGAGTCCTACCGTGTACCTGAAATGATGGAGAGCTGCTGTCAAGTTTTTGACCCTACAAATCTTTTACGTAAGCTTGGATGAATCCCTTACCCTCTGTTTTCTCTCCGTGGTGATCAGGAGCAGGGATTGCATTACCTTACGGGGAACACTTGGGGCACTAAATCCTGTGCAGCACTGAAGAAATACGTGCGTGCCTGGTATTTGACAGCAAAAGGAGACCCGAATTCCTCTTGCATTGTCACTGGTGTCCTGTCTTTGTGGGCCAGACACCACTGCAGCCCATTTCCTCATTTTACAGGCTTGAGTAACAGGCACTGCCGCGGCTCACATGGAAGGGGATGGCTCAGTTCTATAAATGGCTTCACCCCAAAGGAGCGCGATGGGGAGCTGCTGGGGAGCCAGACAGGGATCCCCAAGGCAGAAACCTACCTCTCTGTCAAGTGCTTGCTGGTGGCTGTTCCCTACCCCTCCTATCAGCAAGGCAGGGCAGGAGGAAAGCCTCACACTGGGTTTTTACCAAGACAGAAGAACCAGCACCGAGATGCAGGCAGCCCGGGCTCAGGTGCTGGAGAGCAGGGGTTTGGTCCTCTCGGGGCCTGGCACATCCTTGTTCTTGGGGGGCTCTGGGTGCTGCCGGTTGCTGTCTGATCGCCTCAAAGGCCAATCCAGCTCATCAGAGTGGCAGCAGCAAAGGTAGGAGAAGAGCCGAGTGCGGACCACCCGCGTGCAGAGCACAAACATGATGCAGTTGGCACCTCCTTGGAACGTGTTCCCAATTCCCTGCAAGGCAATAGAAGGGATTCACCAGCGCTGTTCCCACAGGTGCCCCCCCAGAGAAGAGCAAACACAGGGTCAGACCAGCTACAGCGCTGCCCAGTTGACAGCAGCTGCCACATAAGTGGGAAGAACAAGTCCAGAAAGATCAGCCTCGCACCCAAAAGCGGACCAAGTGCGGGGGTTCCACAGCCCCTGCTGAAGGATGCGCACCGGCATCTCTGGTCTGAGCCTGCTTGTCCTACAGGCATTTCTAGTTCCTACTGCAGTTATTCTCTGTAGCCACTAGATGCTGCTGAAATAGCTGCTGCTGAGCATCCCGACCAGCGCTTGCCGGCAGCATCCGTCAGTACGCGCTGCGTCCTGCCGCTACAATAAACGGTATTAAGAGCAACAAAGCCTCATCTCCCTCCCAGATCCTCCTTCCAATGCATTGCCTGGCAAATACTTACATGCAGGACAACCAGGACTGAATTTTGCACTGCAGGGGAGTTACAGAGGGTCAGAATGAAGCGCACAGTGCTCCAGATGCGGAGGATGATAAAGATGACAGGGATGAGAATCAACTTCTTATCTGCTATGGAAGTCTGGGGTTGAAATGCAGGTGCTCTTGAGAGAATGGGGCGATACTCTGAGAGGGCTGCGTGCTTCCATGGAGGGTGGGAGAGAGACAAAAACATGAACAGAAAGCTACATTGGACATTCAGCTCCAGGGACCCTTTCCAAAGCAAACGAAATCTCGGCATCTCATGGGAAGTTAACAGGGACACGCTCCTGAGCAGCAGCTTTTAGCCACATTCTGCCCTTGCTAGTGCAAACATTCCTGCTGAAGCCAAAGAGTGGCAAACAAAGGATATCCGGTGCTTATCAGAATCCCACTAAAGCTTTATATTAACAAACATCACTGTGGAGTTACCAAGAAACCAGGTTATAACTGGGTAAGAATAAAGTATGTGGTGCTCCAGAAAATAGTTTTTCTGGGCCAGCAATATATAGATATAGATATATAGAGATGCATAGAGATATAGATGGTATAGATAGATAGAGATATAGACGATATATAGGCAGAGAGATATAGATGATATAGATGTAGGTATACAGAGATAGAGATAGAGACAGAGACATAGAGACAGAGAGATAGAGACAGAGATGATACAGATATAGATATATCTATAGATAGATATAGATATATCTATAGATAGGTATAGATATATAGATATATTTGGGGAGCAGTGTGGCTCATCCTTCTCAAGCTCTTGAGTCTTCACTGCAGCCAGCAAGTTCCACAAGGAATTTATGCCCATGTGAACCAATCCTTCAGTTTGTTGCCCAAATTTCTGACCATATTCTGTTAGCAATTGGCTTCCATAGATCTGGACAAGCCAGCAATACCTCTCTATACCAGTGCATGCAGGGATCTGTGGCCTGGAGCACTGTGGCTGGAGGTATGAGGCCCATGAGACCTTCCTATGGTAGAAACCACTGGATGGTCTCGGACTCCTGGATGGGGAGAGCAGGTCAACACCACACAGAGAGCGGGTGCTGGGACACACAGTGCTGCATAGCAGGGTGTTAATGTGGGTGAAGGGATGAAATCTCAGCATAGCTGACCTGAAGAAAACCATTCCCCCTCCCACCAGGGCTACAGAGCACACACAGCTTCCATGCACAGCGTTCTCCTTCACCCCAGTACTCCCAGTCCTGGCACTTTCCTTCCTCCAGAACAGAGCTGTGCAACAACACTGCAGTGATTCAATGACCTGAACCAAACCCTCCGGGAGGCTTCCAGTGCAGCTTCCTATATGGTCTTTCCCGTTTGGAAAGCCTCCTGCACATGTCCCCCATGACAGCTACTGCCATCATTCCTCCTGCCTCTCTAACTGCACTACTGCAAACCCCACTTCAGCTATTCCTCTGTTCACAGCCCAAACCCAGCCCTGGCTGGCTGTCGCTCTCTCTTGGAAGTGGGAGACCTCCTGCCAGTAAAAGGACTCAGCAAGCAGGCTCCCAGGCTTGGCAGAATTCCTAGTGGTGAGAAGAGGCCAGGCTGATGATTCAAGGCCAGGTTGGACACAGGGGCTTGGGGCAAGCTGCTCTAGTGGAAGGGGTCCCTGCCCGTGGAGCTGGATGAGCTTTAAGGTCCCTTCAACCCAAACCATCTACAAGGGAGATGCTCCACTCCGTAAGCGCTGGGTGCTGCTGCTCCAGCCCTCAGACCCCTGTTTGGGGACAACTGCCTGCGCTCAGCACCCTGTGAGAGGGTCATGGCTGGAGCCATGGAATCCCTGGCAGAGCAGGAGCCTGAGCCTGGCCAGGTGCGGGTCAGGTTTCCCTGCGGTCACGCTGCTATCTTTGACAGCTCTGGAACACCGCGTCCCGGCCCGTGTGTGTCAGCTGGTGACAGGCACAAGCAAACCCTTCCCAACGCCCCTTTCCAGGACCCCTAGGACTCGTGCTTGTCCCTATGGCTGCAGCACAGAGAGCGGGTTTGCAGGGGCAGTGCTGTCCAGTACATCCATCCAGATGTGGGGGGGCTTTTCCCCCTAATACAACTTAAAGGAAAAGGCATCTCTGGATGCATCTCCTCCTGCCACCATCAACCCTGACTTCTCTAATGTTGTCCTAGGTGCCTGGATTCTTTGTGCTCACAAGGAACAGCAGTAAAAAAGCCTCTGGAGTCTGGAACTCCCCTAGACAGGGTGTCTTCCTGTATTGTGTGTGCATATAGTGCATAAAGCTATATAATGCCCAAAGCTATGTAGCACCCAGACTCCCCCATAGTGCTTTATGCTGCTAGGACAAAACAGGTATTAAAACCATCATTAGAGATCCTAAACTGGTTGAGGTTAGATACAGCTATATGCTAATAGCAGGGTTGGTGCAAGTGGAACTGTGGACGACTGATTAAAGCTGACTTTTGTCCCTCATATCCTGTTCCAATCCTTACATTTCACTCCTGTACATTCCATAACCCCTGCAAGTTTTCCAAAGGCTTTTAAGTTCCTGTGCTAAGCCTCTGCAGTGATGCTGGAGGCTGCTCAATCAGGTGTGCTGCTTCTCCCACAGTGCGGGGTGCATTTCAGCGGTGCATGAAGCAATTCCTGCCTGTGGAGCTGCCAAACAGGAAGGGAAATCTTCGGAGCATGGGAGGACAGAATCACACAGCAAGGTACTCACTGCTCTGTTAATGTGCTTCTTGATGAGGAGGTAGAGCACGGGCAGGGTCACATAGGCCAATATCTCCCACACTTTCCCCGTCAGCAGCATCCACAGGACCCGATCCTCTGCATCCAGGTTGACCCAGCACCAGCCCACAGAAACGTTGGAGGCGTCATAGCCGATCTTCTTCAGAGCAACAGCCGCCACTGTAATGCCAAGGGGGATTCCCCAGCTGAGGGAAGAACACCAAGAGCAAGGTTATGCCAAGAACAAGCTCCCTTCGGTCCCTCCACACCTCAGGGGAAGCGGGTGATGGACCGAGGGGTTCTTCATCAGATGTTCTCTCCTGGATACAGGTGAGGTTGAGGATGTGACCACGGCAGAGCATCTTATGTTGTGACCATCCTGTAGGACCCAGCCATTCGCGAACAATCGGGTTGATCCAGAGCTTTCAGACCACAAGCAACCGAATCCCACACTATTCCTAAGGGACACGTCGCACAAAGAACCAGCACACAAAGAAATCCCCAACTCAATTTTGTCACTGGGTTTTGGTTTTAAATAGGGGGTTAATCAATATTTTGGGAGCAAAAGGATAATTCTGAAGGACCAAGGGAGGTTTCTTCCCAAGGAAAAGCACTGGCAGTAACAGCCACAAGCCAAGAAAGCAAAGAGGAGCCATGTCCACATTGTCTGGAGCCGTGTTTTGCCTTTAGCTTCTCTCTTGACAGCAGAAGCAAATACAGGGAAGCATTTACTGGTGACATTCATGAATCAAACCAGTCAGCAGCCAGGCTGCCCACAAAACCCCATGAGGAACAACTGAGAAATCCCACTCAGCCCTTCCCTGGGTGCTCTTCATAGCCAGGGCTTTACAGGCCCGGGATGTGCAGTCACCCATTACCCCACACCTGAAACACTGCCCTGCATCCAGCGGGGTGCATCACCTGCATCACCACGGGAATACATCCCGTGTTCATCCCCAGGGGAAGGTGCTGGGGAGCTGGAAGTGGGACAAGGGATGTTTCTTCAACAAGCACACAGATGCTTCACAAAGTGCTCGCTGAGCCCCCAGCAGAACCCTCGGGGTCTCTCCAGATGCAAAGGCAACAAAGCCATTCCTGTGTTGCTCCCATTACCTTCCTGGCTCACCCTTGCCTTGCCCTGACAGCCTGGAGCAGCTGCATGGAAAGGGTCTTCCTCCTAAAGCCAGTCTCAGTGCTGCAGACTATGCAGGCAAAGAGCAGTTGCTCAGACCAGGTTGCCTGAAATGCCACAGGGCAACAGCAAAATCCCAGCTAATCCCATGGGAGGTGTCAGAAATGCCCCGTTTCCTGCCCTGAAATGATGTCTGAGTTCACCCGCTCACAAACCCACCCCAAATACAGATAGAGGGCTGTAAAAACCCCTACCAGAGTCAGCCTTTTAGCATGGCTGGAACATTTCGTGTCCGTGTTCAGGTCAGAACAGGCAGTGCTAATCCAAACCAGCGCTGTTATTTAAGGACGGTTCTGCTGCAGGGAGCCCTCCCCTTGCTATTATCAGAGCAGGCTTCCTGCAATCACTCCAAACACCACCACCATGGAAGTACCTGCACAACTGAAGGCTCATCTTGGTAGGAATGGTGGTTTGCCTGCAAACAAGCAGCACAAATGCACGGACATTCACATCTCGGTGCGCTCGGAGCAAGTGACCACTAAAGAGAACTGGCACTTCCTTAAAGAAACCCTGTTAAGGCACACAAGCACAAGGGAGGCCAGCACCAAGAAAAAGGAAGTGCATTAAGAACCTAATTTGCCTACATAATGATCTCCACAGCAACCTGCAACTGAGAGAATTATGTGAGAAGATAAAACCAGGTCAAATTGCTGTGCGTGGAGATAAAGGAGAACAGTGTAAGTATGAACAGGCACAATGAGAGAGGCTGCAGTAGCAAAGTACAGACCACTAGGCAAGGGACTTCAAATCCTCGGTCCTCTAGCCAGTAAAAGGGAGAATGTGGAAGCAAACTGCCACGCATCAGGCTAATTTTCACTGGAGCAGTGTATTGGGATCCGATGGCACACAACCCACGCCGGGGACAAGGGATTACAAGCTCAGAGTGAAGTTAGAAGCTAGAAACCAGTCAGGCATTGCAGTGGGGTTCTTCAGCTCTGTTTTGGATAGCTGGAAAAGAGAACTGAGAGTGGTGGCTTGGTTATTCTTCAGAACCTCTAAATGACAGGTTCCCAAAGGCTGGGAAATACCAGTGCTTTACACCCACCAACAGAAGAATCAACATATTTTAGACCCAAGGCGTATGTAAAGACTGGGATAAAAATCATCCAATCATAGAATAAAAAAGGATCCAGGATAAGAAAAAGAGAGAGAAATTTCACTCAGCGCCCCAAAGACAGTGTAATTATATAGGCTGGGCATCCCAAAAGCACTCCTGGATCTCAGCACAGTCCGTGCAGGGAAGAAGGGAAGACTGCTTGTGTCTCTGTAAAGAGGCTGGCAATCCCATCTCTAAGGCAGATACAACAGCACTTATTCCCCTGATATAGCCCCCAGCAATCTATTAAAGAAAACACATGCAACTCAGCCTATCTTTCCACGTTGGACTTGATGATCTTAAAGGTCTTTTCTAACCTTAATGACTATTAACACCAACGCTGCATTTATACAAGGCAAGACAAGGACTCTTCAACTACAGCAGCGGACCGCTCGAGCTGTGTTGGCGGTCTTGCCCTCAGTGTGCCTGGGTCAGATAGCTTAATGGCACGTTTTGATTTATGCTGCACAGCTGCTCTGTTTCCTTCCCCCCTCCAGAGGCTCTTACACACAGGGGAGGTTTGCTGTCACCTGCCTGCACAGGTTGGACAAGCCTGTGTGCATCCAACCAGGCAGCCTGCAGGCAACTCCTTCTGGGATGGGGATCATTACCCTGCAAAGAGACAAAAATCAGTCTTCTGCATAAAGCAGCCAGCTCCAGGGCAGAGCTTTGAGTGCATTGGGGGCAGAACCCCAGACCAATGCTGCTCCAAGGTAATATCTGAGCCCTAACCATGAAGCAGCATCCTGGTACCAACAGAGAACCCAGAGAAGCAGGCAAGCACTTATAAAAGCTAAGGCACAGGGAGGAGCTCACCCTTTGGTTTGCCTGAGCAAAAAGCTTCTGTAAACTAAACACTAAAGCCCCAGCAAATTTCTTATGTAGGGACACATGTCCAGTTCTGAAAGTCAGCTCTGGCACAGCCATGCAGGAGGCAGTGCACCGAGGGCTCATGTGTACAGTACGTACAGGAGAACATGAAAGGATTCCCAAGTAGCCCTTTGATATGCATGTAAGTATATGCATAGTTATACATGTCTATATAAGCATATTTAAGTGAAATACCTAAGTAAGCACATATATACCTATAACCACCTGCATAGCCTGAGCATTAAAGGCAAATACTTCAGAAGTTGAAAGCAATAGCAAATGCTATCAAAACCAAAGCAAGACATGATCCCTAGGTGGGTACTGGTGCATCCTCACCCCGACTTTGGATCAGCTGCTCTCACAGCAAGGATGACCATTACCCAACCAAATGCTACCTGATCTTTAGAAATCCAGGGGCAGTGAGGGAGCCTGGGAATTGAGGCTCTGGATGCCAGCACTCACACCTTACAACCACATCAATATTTCCAAAGCTAACCATAGGCCTGTTTTCAAAGCCCATCTGAGCACAATGAGTTTAAAGCCAAAACAGCCTGTAGCTCTCCTCTGCTACACCAGACTAGGTGGATGTGTTACCACAGAACAAACCTGTTGGGCAGGTTTGATGCAGTGTGACATCCTCATTTCCCTAAGAAGAAAACTTCAGGTCCTGACTTCCAGTGTATATTTAGTTGCTCTACTTGGCTAAAGAACAACCTCTGGTTTTACTCCACACTAAAGAAGTGTTCATCTCTACCAACACTTGCCCCTCATCAGTAACTACTTGTGAAGAATCGGAAACGTGCACTTCAGCTCCATCCTGCCTCGAATCCCTTCCAGAAGGGTCTTGGAATGACTCAATGGTCACTGCATGATGACATTAGCAACCTATGAAGCGAGGGGGAGGAAATCCCAGGTTCTTGTCTAGACAAAAATACTGGAAACACCTTCAGATCCTTAAATCATCCGCCCTTTGCCACCTTTCCTGTTGCCTTAGCCAGGTCTCACCTACCTACTGCAATGAATGCGTGTGCTAGAATCTTTTCCTACCAGTTGCAGCAGTTCTTATGCGCATGGTACTGGAAGAACACCTCCGGTAGCCAGTAGCACTTTGAAGCACTGAAAAGGGTGAGGAGCCATCTCCAAGTATCATGCCCAGAATCAGGTTTTATGACCGAGTTCTCAGGTAATGATTAAAGTACAGAGAAGGAAAGAAAGAACATGTGTCACAAGGGGATGGGCAGAGAACAGGTCTTCACTTGTTTGGCTCTTCATACAGGTCATAAAGCAAGAAGAAGCTTTAAACACTGGCTTTGGGAGTCAGCTATGAAGAACCACCCAGCAACAGGGCTTCGGTGAGCACTATCTCTAATGCCCCTTGAACAGGGCAAGTGGAGCTGATCAATACCAAGAGCAGGAGATGGCACTTGATTTCTACTGCAAAGACCTGAAAATAAGCCTAGCAGATTGCCCCAGAGGACGTTCAGTTGAACACTTCCCTCCTCTCTATCACAGGGTTAGAGCAATCTCTCGCTTTTAAGAGTGCAGAGATTGCAGCCAACATTATTTCAGTGATCGTGCCCATTTGTTTCCTCACATTGCAGATGATGAGGCTGAGAAGCCTTAAACCAGATGGAGAAGTTAAAGCTCAGACAAAGGCCACACAACAAGAGATTAGCAGATAGGAAAATCACAAACAGGCCAGATTTGAATCAACTCTTTGATGCAGTCTGCAGACAGCATCCCCACAAAGAGCTCAGACTCCTTTTTTCTGTTCCTTAAGCAAAATGTGGCTCTTTACAGGCACTCCATCCTCTCCATAGCTCCTATAGTGCAACTCTATTCACTTGATAGAGCATAACAAATGCCACTGTCTCACTGCATCTTATTTCACTTCACCAGTAGCTCGGTGTTCCCAAATGCGCAGTCACCTCACAGACACTGCTGTCAAGCAGCAAGTAGAACAGGTAGGGCAGGAATCGGGCTCCTCCCTGATTCACACTTAGGCTTCATGTCTTTTTCTGGTCCACCTTTACGTGGACTCAGCTCTAACTCCATCATCTCCCAAATGATGCTGCTTGAAAATAAAAACTGACGAACATTTGCCTAAGAAACCAGTGAAAACTCAGCGCTTGCCCTGATTGTTTGCTCCTTGGATCACTCCTCTCACCACTTCTTGCAGCTCAGAGGACTAAAGGATCACTGTTTTGCTCAGCGTGGAGGTAGCACATGATCCCCCGAGCTCCAATTGCATAATGAAAGCTTTTACTAAACATGATGTGGAAAAAACAGCTTGCTGAAGAGCAGAAACCTTGGGACATAAAAGCTGCATTGTGGTCTGGTTTGCCTTGCCTTCAAACCTGCCGAAACAACCTTCGGCGTGCTTTACTAGCAGCCTCCTGCCCCGCACACTGCATTCTCCTGCTAGGTGTATTGAATTACAGCAACCTGCCTGGGGAAAGGGGGAGGATCAACGAAGCAGGCTGCCACTGGGAAGTCGGGATCCCAGGAAACAGAGCTCAGACCCAGGAATTCTGGCAGCAGCAGGCCGGTATTGCAAACACAAGGTTCATGATACTATTTCTAGGATGTAAGAGCTGATTGTAGAGGGAAAGCAGAAGCCAGGGTGGTTTAGAGTGGTTTTGTCTTGCGACCTTAAGCAAAACACTTTTATCTCTTCTACAGCTCATTTCTTTACCCGGGGAGGGGGAAATTAAGCAGGGCTGGTTAAAAGACAGCAACCCCCCTGTTTATAGGGAACTTGAGAGTGGCAGACTGTCCTTAAAGGAAGAGCAGGTGACCCAAGCATCCATGCAAGCACTCCATCTCAGAGGGTTCAGCGGGAGATTGAGGGGTCCGCATCTCATACCCTCACAGGAGCAGCACCCACCTCATGACATGAAAGCAGCAGAGCAAGCTTGTGCCGGTGGGCGAGCCCCTCACAATGGTGATGTAGAGGTAGACAGCAATGGCCATGGTCCAGAAGAAGGAGCTGGTGTTGGAGAAGGTGGACAGGGCACCCTGGAGCACGCAGTCCCACGAGGTCCTGTCGAAGTCCCGCAGCACCCCATAGAAGTACGAGAGAGCCGAGAGGAGATCCGCCAGCGACAGGTAGAGCAGGAGCTGCCGGGGCCGCGTCCGCAGCTCGGGCCACAGCGCATGGGTGCCCACGAGGAGGCTGGAGCCCAGGAAGGACAGGACGCAGGACAGCAGCACCACCGCCCGCTCCGAGGCGTACAGCTCGGTGGGGGGCAGCGGAGCGGGCATGCCGGGGACGGGGCGCAAGAGGAGGAGGAAGGAGGAGGAAGGAGCGGCGGCGGCACCGCGCTGCTCCGGGACAGCCCGGCCCGGGCGCGCTGTGCCAGGAGGGAGGGATGAGGAGCGGGGAAGCCGGGGCGGGAGCTGGGTTTGTCCGTCCCCCCGTCCCCCACCCCCGTCATGTGAGCGCCGGGCCCGGCCCCCCCTCAACCCTGCGGGGATCCGCTGGGAGAGACGGAGCCCTGGGAGCACCTCGGGTTCCTTTCAGGTACAAACACTCGCGCCCCCGCCGCTGCAGCACCAATGGAAGCTCTTTTTCACTGCTGGCTCCTAAAAGCCGTTCCTGAGGGTGCTGAGGCACAGGGTGCCCAGAGGAGCTGTGGCTGCCCCATCCCTGGCAGCGCTCAAGGCCAGGTTGGACACAGGGGCGTAAAGCAAGCTGCTCTAGTGGAAGGGGATGGAACTGGATGAGCTTTAAGGTCCCTTCCAACACAAACCAGGCTGGGATTCCACGCCCTCCTTCCCGAAGGAGAGCGCGCAACACACCCGTTTCCAAGGCAGAACTCAACTTCGCAGAGCCCGGTTTGAGCCGTTCATGTACATACAGGTACCCAGATCACAGTACCGGACACATCCTCCCGAGGTGGCCCCAGTATCATCTTTACCTTCCCCATCCCTTTGAAGCGCACAGCGCCGACTCCTGCCGCATCCTGTGAGGCAGAAACCGATAAGCAGACACAACAAAGCGCTCGCCACCGCGTTAAACGCATCTTACATTTCTGCTGATAAGGAAGTGCTCTTTTATCCCTCCCCTCTTCAAACAACTTCCAAGCTGAAAGCATCTCCTTGTTTGCTTGTCTCACTTGCCCTGGCTTCCGCAGACAACTCGTACCTTACACCTTTGATGTGGAGTGATGGGCTCAGTTTACAAAGGGGATAGTTATTGTTTCAGGTGTCTTGGGCTCTTCAACAGCTCAATCATTTCCTAGCTGCCACAAAGGAGCCCTGCTGAACTCGGGTTTTAACAAGGTTTATACGGAGCTGTAAACCCAGGTGCTTATCCCCCACCCAAGCTCCTCCCAGCACCCTGAAGCCATCGACCACAGCCTAGAAAACACATCTGATGGAAAGATCTTTGAAGAAACCCCATAAATCACTCAGGTTTTGCATATTACTTTTGGCTGTGCTGCCCCTTCGGTTTCACATTCCCATCTACCAAGTTGAGAAGGAGCTCTCCTCATGTTAAATCACTTCCTTTGAGTCCTGTATTTAGGAGACACCATTTCACAAGCTTTGCAGCATGACTACTGTTTAATTAAACTATTTCTGTGCTATTGCCACTTCACTGGAGAAAAACAAGGGCAAAAATAAACCCACATTCCTATTGGGTGTATAAGAAGGCCACATCCTGCTAGATGGTTTTAAGAGCGGTTTTCCCTGTTTTTCCATGCGGAACTATCTTCCACTCCTCAGCTGCATGGCTATACTCAAATCCTGCAGCAAATTCCACTGCTTCCTTAAGCTTTCCATTTTCTTCATCTGGTTTTCATTCTAAGTTCAAATCCAATTCCCTAAGGAGCCCTGGGCGTCCTTGGGATGCATCAGTTTGTCAGGACAAGTCCTCACACCCACTCTGGCAGTTCACAGAGAGCTTTTCAGTCGCATCCAGCTCTGCCTTGGCTCCTACATTGGGTGCCAGCTCTGAATGAAGCCTTTCCAGCTTTTTAGCAGCTTGGTTTAAGCCGGTTTCACCACAGCACAAAAGGGGCTGCAAGGGTCAGCACTGAGCCCCTCACAAATGAGCCCTCCTACAGCTGCCATCCAAACTCACTGCTGCTGCTCCAGACATCACCACTAAGGACAACTCCCAGCAGCACCTTTCCAAGAAGCTGTTAGCTGGAACTTCAGAGCTTTCCAAACCCTCAAGTCCCCAGCTACGTCCAGGCTTGGTGTCCTGCTTCTTGCTCAACTGGATGCATCTGTCATTTGTTCTGGTAGTTACCCCCTTTGGAAACAACAGCTTTCCATGTCTCTTTCTGACCTTTACCACTCAGTCAAGCAGGCTTTTACATGTAGAAGCAGTTTATTTTGGAGCCTGATGCACTCTGCATGTTCTGCATAGGAGAAGGAAGTTGCAGCGACTTGCATTTCCCCTGAACTCAATCTGACACTAATGGCTGCTTTTAGTCATTATTCCAGTCTGCCTTTAGCTACCATCTGACCCCCCAAAAACATGAGATCAAGTTTTGTCAAGGCCGTGTTCCCTGTTGTTGTTCTTTGGTTTCCTTTTCCCCGCTTCATAGCGCAACACACTCGTGCCTCTCACAAACATCCAGACAAACCACTTCACCAAATAGCCTGGCTTTTGAGCGTTACTTCTATTTTGGGGTGATGGATGTGGCTCTAAAACACAGCTTAGTAAGTATTGTAAGACAAACCCAGAATTGGTATCTCCACTAACTTCCGATTCAGATATTCCCCTTCTCTCCAGTTCTAAAAGGAAGCAGTCTGTGAGGTTATCCTGAGTTGTGGAAATCAGCAAGTGAGATGCAGCTTTCCCTTAGCAATCAGAAAGAAATAGGCCTGGCACAGCATCTTCTGCTGGATCTTCCCCTACTGTCTAGAGATAGGGATATGGTACATTCACACACAGATGTCACCCCTGAGCAGAAGGACACATACAAAGAGTTAATGCTTCCAAAAAGAGTAATAAAAAGCAGAAAACAAAGATTCCCACTACCTTTCATTTTCTTCACACCTGCATGTGCCAGACATCACCCCCCAGCAGCTCTGTGGCATTCCTGTTACCTTGATATTGTTACCTTCCCACTGCAGGGTAGTAGTGCAGCTCCCAGATGTACATTCCTACCTTCTGTCCCATGGGATCTGCAATTGTCCAGAGAATAGAAACACCTGGAAATGCCCAAAGATACACGACAGTTCAAAGGCAGTGCTGTGTGTAGCTCAGGGAAGTCAAAACCTTCGGAGTTTTCACTCTGAAGCAGTGAGCTTCATTCATCTTCAGATGCTCTCACAGCACAGGGAGGAGAAGCAACCTGGTATCTGGTGGAAAGACCCAGAAAGTCTTTTTTCCTGACTTGGAATTCATCTCACCAACTACTCAAGGAGCTTCCTGACACACATCTACATGCAAGGAAGAACAGACCGAGCACCATTTCTAGCTGTTTCTGATACCCACCCAAGAGAATATTAGCTCCCTTTCCACATTCGCTTTAAGGCAATCACAACAGAGTAATAGCCTCTGACCCCAGCATCACCACCCATCTTCCCTACCCACAAGAGGTCACTGCTGTTCCAAGCAGTAATATTTTTCCCAGTCACCGTCGTCCTGATCTTAACAGGCACTTCTCTGCCATACCTCTGGTGAAGGCAGACGGCTCCAACACCAGCAGATGTACCTTGGTCAGCTTTACCCATCCCTGCATCATGCCTATAGCTCAGGCAGTAGCTTCAAGTAGAAGCCTGGACAGAAACTTCATTGCACCACAAAAAAAAGTAGATGTCTCCTGTCATTAACCAGAAGATACAGAAAGAATCAACCATTAGATGCTCACTTTGGGCAACCCCCTTTAACAGGATGCAATTCCTCTCGAGGAAGTCAGCACAACTGTTGCTTGTACTCATCAGCTTCTCAGGGCTCAGCCTGGGAGCAGTAAGACACCCAGCTCCTCCCCTTCTCAGAGGAAGGCAAAGTTAGATGCATTGTGTATATCCTTGCACTGGTCTTCTGCGTGGCCTGGCCAGCGGCAAGGCACTATGTATATATAAGAACATCTATGCAGTAGCTAACAAACCTGATTCTCTGGAAGCGTAAGCCTAACGGTGGAACTGTCACACAGTAAAACCAGCCACCCAAAAGCTCTACCAGCACCTGAGCTCTTTGTTTCCAAAAGACCATTTTCCTAAGTCATCACCTGATCCTTAGGGTCACTGCATCAGCTGAAAGGAAGCCAGGGAAATGTGGCTAAGAGAAGGCTTTGAGTGAGGCCAAAATCCTCATGTTTGTCCTTTGTTGTTTTTCCAGCATGTGACAGAAGAGAAAAAAAAAAAGAGAAAACCTCCATTTCTAGCAGTCCTGGCACAGATTAAGGGCCTAATCCTTTGATTTTATTAACTCCATCCATTCCATTTTGGCTAGACACTAATACAGACAGCTTCCAATAGAGCATTAGTGAAAGACATACAGGGCTGCTCAAGAAACTGAAATGATCACCGACAGCCTTCTCAGCAGCTGCCCCCTCCAGACAACAACTTCACCTGGATTTAGAAGAATCACTCAAAGCAAAACCCACAAAGAAACACATTCCCTATGTATCTACTAAGAACACTGAGCAACAAGGCAGTCCCTTCAATAGGTGAGAACACCAGAGCGGCTCTCATGTGGCTTTTCTTCTCAGAAGCCAAGTTTTCAGCTGTGAAAGGTTTTATTTGGCAAGCACTGGGGTCAAGACAGCTCTGTTAACAGGTACAACTGTGTGCTGTCAAGCTGACAAGAAGCAATCTGACACTCGCATGCAAAATGATGCTGGAAGTTTGGCACGGTGGGAGGCCACATTACAGACAGAATAGACTTTCTGAAGCAAAACTGCAACACATGTAGAGGTGCATAGAGCCAACACAGTAATTTGCAGCTGTGGAGATACTCAGTGGCTCTTTCCCTGACTCTTCTTGTGTGGAAAATAACAAATACAACTGCAATAAAAGCTGACGTTGGTAAAGCACTACTGAAGTAAAGCTGCCTCATGCTAACACAAAATAAGCCTTGCAACTAAATTCATTCTAAAAGTCCTCTCGAATTACCACATGCTGCATGAATTCCATTTTATCTTTATTACACAAGAGCAAATACTGTGCTTTTCCCTGATGCTGCTACTGCTATATTAATACTCACCATTCTGCTTCCCATCCCTCAGCTGTTCAGGAGTAACATAAAAGAACGCCCTCCAAGGCAGGCAAGTCTGCTTCAGTGCTCAAGTACTAACTGGCATGCTAGCTGCTACTCCAACCTGGCTCCTGATTCTTTAGAGACTGAAATGCTCAGACCCCTTACCTTCTTTTACCAGCCCACCATGACAGGCAACTCTTAGAGTAACAAATACACAGCTCTTGGCAGGCTCAGCATTGGGATAGAAGAGCAGCCCAGAGGCAAGCATAACTGTGAAACCCCCTGCATCAAGATACCCCTGGGGTTTATGCTGTCTTTCATGTTCCATCCCCAGTGCCCTGGAACCAGAACAGGGTGTGTGTACACAGCTGCTGAAACACGACACACATCACCCACTGCAGAGCCCTACGCTGGATCTGCTGAACAAGCCCAATGGCTTTTCTTTGTGCAAGTAGAGATGCTTACTCATTTTAAGCACTTTTCCATCAGCACGAAGAATGTGCAGTCAGGCTGCAGAGATCACACAAGAATTCAAGCCAGCAGCTCTCAAAAAAAGCCCTGAGCAATGAGAATTTTTCTGCAGGCTGGATGCAATTAGTGCCACTGCTGGAATGAAGCCAGCCCAGTGAACGGATTGAAACAGGCACCGAGTGTGGCGATAGCTTTCCATTTCATATTTAAATCAGGGGATTGATATGGCCTATTCCTGCGTGCTGGGGCCGTGTAGAGAAAAATAAAGGTATTAAAGTTGCACGTTCTCAATGAAACAGAGTATGCCATGAACAAATACACTATATTTAAGACCTTGTCTTAAGGTCACCCAGCTCAGATTCAAGTACAGAGCGGTGGCGCTTTGGGAAAGGGCACTTGGGCAGCGTACAAAGATATGCTGTAGTGATCTTTGTGGCAATCTTTCAATGCTATTTTTTAGCCATTCTCATTACCCATAATAAAACTGTGTGGACTGCATGTCTTATATCGAGTAGTAGGAAAATAGACCAAATAATAGGATTTTTGGAGTGTAGGTTTTACCGTAAATTGCATTGGAGGTATACACTGTACTCTGCAACAGAAAGGTCTGCCTACAGCCTGTGATTTTAACAGAGAGAAGACTGGAGTCTAAAAGCTAATAATGAGGTCCTCAAGTAGGAAAAGTCATGCAGGATGTCAGCTCCCCTGGTTACCGAGCTAGGAGCATCACTGAAGTTATTTCACACAAGTTATTTGAAACAGATCAAGTGCGAAGCAGCAAAGACACAATCCAGCTAAAGGGAAAGGGTGAAACAGAGCCTGGGTGACTCTTCTTTCATCCACACAAGGACACTCAACATCTACAGTCCAGAGCACAAATATGACCCAGAAAATGGGTTGTAAAGCACCGTATCATACTCCTCACTCTCCTCCTTTGAAGGCAGACATAAAATATTGGGGGCTAAGAGCTTACAGATTCATGCTCTGTGTGTCAGTGCTGATTGCTCAGGTCTCAGCAGAGCTGTGCACAGCCACTGCCATTCATCCAGATAAGGGGTCAGCCACAGCCACATTCCCAACACAGAACTCCAGAATGCCGCTTGGTATTCAACAACACTCTCTGCATCACGCTTCTTGCCCAGGTAGCAAACAGCACATTTAACAGAACCATTTGAAACACAGTGCCCACATAGTTACGGAAGCTGATGGGATGGTTGCTCACTACTTGCCATCCTGGTTTAAACACTACTGCAAGGCTATGGACAGGAAACTTGAAGAGCAGAATGTTATCTTATAACCTCAAACTCACTGACTTTATTAACACAGGTGAAGTTGCTCAGCGATCACATGCTAAGTGAGACAGGTCAAGCCCCACGTGTTTGTCATCCCAGCCACATTCCGGTCATTGCATCAGTTCCATTCAGCCAACACCCAGCTCAGGCTCAAGTATAGAGCAGTGGCACTTTGGGAAAGGGCATTTTCCGAGTACAAAGAGGAACTCTCTGAAGCAATCTTCCAATTGTATTTTTTTATTGCAAAATACAATTGTATGTTGTTGTTATTTTTGTCGTTACCTATAATAACACACTGTGCGTCTCCTCAAAAAGCTTGGAACTGATGGTCATCTTTGGCTCCATAGAGAGGAAAAAACCTGAAAGCAAAAAGCCATAGAACAGTGGTATTTTATCAGGAAATCTGATGCATGAGCTCAAAATATCTGCTCTGTGACAAACACCCTGCAAAGGCAGAGGTGAAGTTTCAGAAGACTGGCAACAGAAGGATGCTGTGCTCCCTTCTGGCCATCCATTACCTTCTGAGTACAGACAGTTAACAACTCCCTGTAACCGGTGCAATTATGTTCATGTCTGGGGAAAAAGGAAAGGCATACAGAAATGTGGCAACCAGAGCCATAGCTAGCTTGGTTAAGAGCTGGATTATGACCCTGGATTATGACACCCAGTTTACGTCAAATCAGCGAGAGCAATAGAGATAAAAAGAGAAGCAACTTGGTTTGATCAAAATTGATGTAAGCTCTTGTCCTCTGTGTGTGTGAGTATTGGAAAATTAAACTAGATGTAGGCAAGGACTTCCCTTCTTCCAAGGTTGGGGTGATTTGTCCCCATATTGTGGATTTGTCCTTTCTAGAAACACCTCTTATTTAGGAGGGCCCCCTCTTAGCCAGACAAGGTAAGAAGTCTCATTGCATAATTAAAATCTAACTAATTCTTTCCCAGGAATTCAGCCGAGTGTTTGGGCACCTGACTCCGTGTATTTGCAATGCTTAGCTGCTGACCAGCACCCAAGAGAAACAGTGACTACAGGCGAGTTGCTCCCATTCCAAGTTCAAAGCCAGGTTAGCTTGTCATTGCCAGCCAGAGACTGGGGCTTGGATGAATTCTTCCTATGAGCAGGCCCTTCTCCCAATGCCCAGCGTTGCATTTTTGCAGTGTTACTACAATAGCTATTTTACTCTCAGAAAGATGCATGTGGGAAGGACAAAGAAAGGGCAAAGCAACTTGCAACACATTTGTCTTCTTTTCTCTTCCTCTCACCTCCGATGCAATGATCACATCATCAAGCATCCTGTGGCATTTCTGCCATTGGCCCTCTGCTCCAGCAGACACTTCAAGCTCCAGTGCAACACAGGGCAGCATCCCAACCTGGATCCCCATCCACCTCTCGAGCCAGGGAAATGAGGCAGGCCCAACAATGTGTAGCACTTCTAGGGCAGTATACTTGCTGATTGCTTCCTTGACTATTGTTCACAACAACCAGCTAAGACACTGCCAAAGAAACACTCACAGCTGGCATCACACCTGGAGGGAAGTTAAGGCAGGTTGGCCGAGCTCCTCCTCTCTTCTCATTCACAGAAGGCAAGAGTCTGGGGACAAAGAAAAGGTTGAAGAAGCTTTTGCAGCAGTACTAAAGAAAACCTCTTTCAAGGGAGAAGAGGCTTAAACATTAATTATAAGTTACCCTGTTCCTTACCCCCAAACTGGGTAAGGCCAATCTTGGGTAAGAATGACTGGTTAGCTCATGCATACGGTGTGTTAGACAGATAACTCACTGGGAACTCAACCATCTGTGAAATAAATGAAGAAGGGACTAATACTTACTTGTACTAAAGCCATTTGACTTTCCTATTAGACATATGGAACAGCCCGAGATACACAAGATAGGGTGTTATCTAGCGTTCCTGCAATCCTCAGTTCCTGGAAACACTTGAACATGTGAGAAGACAACCTTCAGGGCAAAGCAATTCCTTCACTCTTGCATCATAGCCTCCAAAGCAGGTTATTACTCACAGGGCTCTTGTGCAACACTGGAGCATAGAGGTGAAACATGCAGCATGACTGGCTTTTGGCAGCCTCTAGTTTCTTTCAGTGATCCACTGGCAATGCAACATCTGTATATTCTGAGACATTTAGGCCTTCTATTCCCCCTCCTAATGCACCAGGTTACAAACTCCACAAACTCAGGAGTTTGCTTTGTGCTTGGATAGCAAGACAGCGAGAGGGGAAATTCTCCATTCTTTCTTGCTATCCCAGTTTTGCTCCCAGGGAAACTGTATTTCATATCCCAAGTTACCAGAAACCTGCTCTCCTGCAAAGAAAGGCATGAGGACCAACGGACAGGCATGACTTGGAAACACTTCAAATCAAAGAGCAGAAGTTACAACCCCAAGCTGCTGGCTATCACTAGGTCTCCAGAATGGCCAGCGTTTGGGAGCGTATGCTTCTCTGAAAAGGAATGCAGTGATCCAAGACAAAACTGATGGGTTTATTGCAAGAGAGAAAAGTTCCATTGTACAGGATGGCAGTGCAGGTGACAGGAAGAGCTCATGACCTCTACATAAATATCGAAGGAGACTGAAATGAAGTTCTGTAGCTACACGCCAATCAAACCAGGGCAACAGAGAACAGTAATACCCACCAGGCACTGTGCTAACAGAACATGGGCTCCATTCCCTGTGTTCCAGGAGTCAGCAGTGATTAATTAACAAATCACTTCTTGAGTGTAACCTCTTGAGCCTGAGGAAAAAAGCAAACAGCTCCAAACCATCAAAATCAAGACTTGACAACAGCGCCCACCTTCCTGCCCTGAAAACGTGTCCCACTGTGGAACTACCTGTCTTGGTTAAACAACGACCTAATCATCCCTCCAACATTTCCATCAGGATCAGAACAAAGCAGACTATCTCAAAGGCAATTAACAGGTCAGGGACAAGCACAGCTATAGGAGAGCAAAACAGTCTGGTACAGAAGAAGATACCGCTTCATCTTTCATTCTCCTCTGGGGACGTACAAGACTGCAGAATTGCTGTTTTGGGAACTTGAAATCTCTCCTCTGAGCTAGTAAAAATCAAGCATGTCAGGGCCAGGGAAAAGATGTTTTGGGGAATAACCTTGTACCCATGCAGCGGGATAATGATCCTGCTTTTCGTTCTTCAAACCCTTTTAGCTCCCCTCTTGCTTGCTGCCTGAAAGAATTCCTAGTGCTTTAGGAAAGAAGGAAACAACTCATCCAGCCGAAACTGTTCAACAGACTGGGAGAGCATGGAGCAGCAAATCCACCCTTGTGTTCCAGCCTTATGGGAAGGGCAGCCCCAAAAAAACATGTGCCCAACACCCAGAGCAGAAAAGAGGGAGTGCAGCACACCAGCTGGTCCAAACAAATCTACTCAAGCCTTCAGCTGCAAGGGGCCAGAGTCTTAGATGCTAATGTATGTCTCAGATATAATCCATTGAGCCCTGCTCCTGGCAGCCAAAGATCTCCATAAATCTAGACAATATCTATTAAATTAGCGCAGCTCGTGATGGTTTTCTATGGTACAACCCAAGACATCAGCTGAATGGGGCTGCTGTACTAGGCACAGTGCAGTGATATAGTAGAACAATGCATCCCTATACCCCTCAAGAGCTTCTTCTACGTTAACATTAACATCTGTGTTGCACGAGACAAGATATTAATTCTTTCTCCCAAACCACTGCAGAGCCATCTTAGAAAATCACCACCTTTCCTTAATATGGGCAAAAGTCTTCATGGTGTTAAGTATAAATGAAACCTCAGGTGTACAGGAGCATCTTTCCCCACCCTTCCTGTTGATGCACCAGGAGAGAACATACAAGGCTACAACTCACGTTTTTAATTGCATGAGTCTGGGATAATACACATGAGTATTTTTTATGAAGTATAAAGTCCACAAGTGTCCTCCACAGATGGCAATGGGATTTACCATCATGTGGAGGCCAAACAAGCTGGCAATCAGGCAAGGAGCCTTCAAGTTCAAAAGCTAAGCAGCAAAAGCTAAGGGAGAGAAAGGCATTCCCTCTGCAGAGACCTAGAATCATTTAACTGATTTCTCACTGCTGGGGCTGCAGAGAAAGCAAGTATTTGCAATACAGTAGACAGTTACCCAGCTCTTGAGATTGCTCTTATTTCAAGGTGGTCGGAAGCTGCATTTCTAGGGATGACTGACTTGGGAACAGCTCTGAAGTCTTACAGGGAAACCAACAGTTGAGCTAGTTTAGAGTTACGAGAGACCTCTGCAAAGGCGCTGGCCAATAAGCTATTTTTCATGTCAGCAGCTTGTCTAACAGCAAATCCTTTTCTCCTTCCTTTGAGTTCAAGTACCTGGTAAGTTTACTACGACTGGGCATTTGTGAAAAGCATCCTGTATTAGGGAACTTTGACAAAATCCATCCATGACACCATCGTGTGTGTTAGCATCCCTGAGTAAAGGCCAGAGGTGCCACTGGAAGTTTACATGGCTCTGTGTGTGTAATTGAATTTGCCAGTTAAAGGCTCAGTTTGCCCCAGAAAGGCAATTTTCCCCGTAGAGAAAAGCTAACCCATGATGTGTTTCACTTCACACTGGTCCTTGGGGTGCTTTTCCTGGAGAGATGTGACCCAGTCTGCACAAATCACACCAGCGCACATCGATCCTGTGTTAGTGAAGTGGTTAAATGCAGATTTGTGCTGTATCTGTGCGGGTAACAAAGCAGCAGGAAAAAACTCTTTGGTGAATTGTGTAACAGTACAAGGGATTAGCCTATAGAGAGATCACTACTGTAAAAGAACCAAGCTGATGGGTGTGGAAGGTGGAAAGACTCTCCTGTTACAGAAATACTGCATTCCAAGAAAGTCTTGCCAGGTGAGATCTGCAGCAATCCTTTTGTCATCACTAAAATATGTGACACCATAAGCTTCATTTCATTAAGCACACTGATTTCAAGTTCATTCCCTGCGTTGTGTCATCCTCCTATTGTCAGCAAGGGGAGCTTTAAGCTGTGACTGACCTAGTAACTGAAGACCTACACAAAGTTTCTCTACAGCTTTGAAAGCATGAAGCAAACAGATTCGCTGTTACTGGAAGCTTCAAATACTTCTTGGTTTAAGGCAAAAACCACTGAATTTTCACCTGTGAGATTTGTGGGCAAAAAGCAGCCACAGGAGAAAGCTTGAATGGAAGAGGAGAAATGACAGTTTGAAACTTCAGAAGGATTTAGGTTGAAAGAGATTCCTGGATATCAGCTAGTTCAGCGCCTATTTTAAAGAAGGCTAACTTCAAAATCAGATCAGGATGCTCAGTGTCTTTTATACAGGTTGTTTTAATCAACCTTGCCTATTTCTAAACCATGGAATTAGAAGTGATGTCAAACCAAGTCTATTACACTTATCAGGATGAGCTGGCATCCCAGTGCAAAATCATCTTAAAGCCACTAGTGGTGGTTGCTGAGCAAGAACAACTCTCCTTTCTCCCAAAGGAAGTGTTGGTCTTTCCTATTATGAGCTTCAAGGCAGGAGAGGAAGTGCCTTGCTTCTCTAAATCCAGTCAGTTTTCCTGACTTACAGCATTAGGGACAGCTTTCCCTTTTTAAGCTAAGAATACATTTGATTAATGCTGACTTGGCTTTGGTACAAGTCCTATGACACGTGGATCAGGACTTTTTGGGTTCGTATCTCCAAAAACGTTCACACGAGGGCTGTACTATTCCATTATCCCACCTTCTACTGCAATTCCTGTGATATGCTACCAAGTCAACCAGAAAATGGTTCTAGGCTACTCTTGGCATTGCTTATAAAGCAGTATCATACTTTCCCTGCCACTTTCTCCTCCAAACTCCCTGTAACATCCTAATTCCCCAAACACAGGACACAAGCTGCTCAACAACTCCTGTTTGCCTTTCACTTACTCACACAGCAGAAACTTTCCTTATGAGATGGATAGACACGACCCTAGATAGCAAAGATATTTACCAGTGTCTTCCAGTTGCGTGGTAGGGGATGATCCGGCTGGCAGTGGTACCCAAAGTCCATCTAAGCTCCCAGGTGAGCCCGGCTTTCTGCTGCTGGGGTTGATACAGCTCAAGCCAGCTGAGGACAGGCTCCAGAGCGTGTAGACACCTGCTTCATCGTTCAGACTCTGCAAACTCAGCCAGTTCCTGCTTTCTTGATAGAGCTGCGACTCCACCCCGCTCCCTGCCACCACTCCTGCAGGCCAACCTCGCAGCTAATAAGGAAATGGGACAACACCTTTGCAGTGAGTCACAGACTGTCTGAACCAGAACTGAGAGAATAGAGCGAGCGATTCCGTTCTGTAAAACACAGAAAGAGAGGCAGAAATCATGCAAGATGGGTGATAGAATGACAGGGGAAAAGATAGAGTCCTAGTCAGCATATCTACCTGTAGGCTGTCTAACCCTAGTGATTTCCAGCTCCTCACTCAGCTCAGAGGGACACTGCCGTTTGGGTAGCAGGCTATCTTCACCTTGCAGGTGACAAGTGGAAAAGCAGCAGCAGTTTCGTAGCCCTGGGATCACGTTGCAGGCAGAAGCCAGATCTGCTCACAGCAGCTTTTTTCCACAAGCTTCCCTGCACTCAGAAGCACAAACGCCCTCAGATATAACAAGGAAAATTCAGGAAGGAGATCAGGTTATTCCATGACTGAGATCCGCAGGGCGGCTACGTCTGTCACTTGTCTGCTCCATAAAACACAGATATAGTCCCTAAACATGGAACAGTTAAGGGTACTATGAGGAAAATCTAGAGCAACTGTCTCCTCCCGTTCCTTAAAAGGCATCATATTTAAAACCTACCACATCTCCCCCAACTGAATCTTCATTTGGGATCTCACTGGGCACGGCTAATATTGCTGGCTTAAGCTGTATTAAATCTCACATCAAACCAAGATAAAGCGGTGGCATTAATACACACATCACTTACTCTATTTCTCCATATACTGTGCATTAGGAAACGTGCACATGCAGTGCACCAGACATATGCCTTCTTCCACAACAGAGTTAAAGAACTAATTCTTTGCCAGATCCAGCGCAACTTCTTCCTTTCTTTCAGAAGTCATTTTTCTTTTTACATGAAAACAAGCAAAAAGCCCTTTGCTCTCCACTGTAAATTCCATTCTTCCCCTTACAGCGACAATATTTAACAAAGCTTTCATTACCTGTTTTTCCCCTCTTCTCTCCCAGATCAGATCAGAGATGTCCAGCAGCAACATCTGAACACTAACTGTGAACTCTACAGCAGTCCAGTCCCAGTGGCCAGAAATGCACCTAGGGCTTGTGTTACCAAGACAGCAGACACACTGTCCCATTTCACACCTTGAACTTCCTGCATGTTATCCCTTCCCTTTACACAATTCCCTCCCTGTATCTTATCTAACTTAAATAAAACACACAGACTGAGCCCAAAGGTTTCAGGAGAACAAAATCTTAATCCTGCTCTGTGGTCACCTGTCAAATCCCATATACATTGGCTCTCCTCATATAGCCCCTTCGAGACGATCTTTAAGGGAGTTGTGATTCTGGAGCTTACAAAAACAGTTCACACTTCCACCAGCAGCTGAGCCCTCCACTGCACCTACATAAGTGTCATTTATCTGTAGTGTAGACATGCCACAGCCATTACTTTCCAGCAGTGAGCTGTGCAAAGCAGTAAAGCACAGTGGGGAGCCCCATCCAAGGCTGCAATGCTGCTGTAGCTCCTGGAAGCAAGGTTACCCCTTTTCTCCTTGCTGCCTCCACACTGCAGCAGTCAATACAAGCTCAGAACACGAGGCTGCTCAGGGCTTCTGCTGATTCAGTACCTTGGGAGAGGCCTGGGCAGAGTCCAGTGCACTGCAGATTTCAGATAACTGGAAGCCACACGTAAGCACCCATGAGTCATTAACCAAGCAATGCGCAAGCATTAGCCATAGATCATAAACCCAGAGGCACAGCTGTCAGGAGCCCCATGTATACTCTAGCATCTCAGTCTAAAAACCCCCAAACCCTGTGGTTATAGCCCAGATGGGCCTGGGAAAGACAAGTTGATTCAACCCAAGAAGTTCCTGGCCCTCAGTTTAGTCTGCTTGGACGCAGAGGATGCTGCTGATTCACAGCAGAGATGTTACAGTCATAGCAGTTCTGTCCTTGCTTGTCTGTTAAGGTCAGGCCCCTCTTTTAACAGGACTTTGAGGGATCTTTATAGAATCCTATTAAGGACATGCCTCTTTCCTTCCGTTCAAGGCTAGACCCACCTATTCGTACATCTTTGCCTCAAAACAAGAGGCAAAGTGTCAGAACAGGGTCTGCTGCCTGCAGGTAATGAAACAGCTTCTCCCTTGGCTGAGCTGCATTAGGGAAATGCACATTTTGATGCCCACTACTGCTCAGTCAGCCACTCACCACAACCACCAGAGAACTTCGCAAGAGTCCCCTGCACCACCGCCTGAAGTTGTCACCATCCTCTATACTGAGAGGTGCCCACCAAGCACCACCAAAGCATGCAGGGAGGTTTGAAGATCAGGATTATCACAGCACGTTACGTGACCCTCTTATCTGCATATCCACTGACACACTGAAGCTGAGAATACATCCCACTGAAGGCTTGAATTGGAGTCCCACAGTTGTGTGAGCCCCTTCAGCTGAGTGCCTCTTTGGAAACAAAACAATGGCTTCTCCCCACTTGCATTAAGAAATGGGCTGTACCCGTTTCTGGAAGATTACTGGTGTTCTACCTTCAAAATACAAGGAAACAGACTTGCTTAAAGAGTAGGCTAGCAGGCTTCACTGTATAGTCAAAATGAGTTCCCAGCCATACAAAGAGAACTGGTAAAGAGACCTTCTCTCTATCCACCTGTAGAGAACAAGCAGAAACAACTGTGGTTTATCTGAAGGAGGGTTCACATCTTTCCACAGCAAGAAAGCACTGATGCTCTGTTTCTCATTTAAATGAAGCCACAGGATAAGTGAACACAAAGAAAAGAATTCCCCACATCTGTACTAAAAAATCCTCTGGTTCCCCATGCTTTGAGACAAGGTCCATGCACTGAGGTGTCAATAGGCCAGGAGAGAAAAAAGCTCTCTTCTCACTACTGGCATGAAATCTGCGACAGTATCACTTATGTTACAAGCCTGTCCCTCCTCTATGACACAGAAGAGACTGAAACAGAGCAAGTATTTATGCTTTCAGAGGAGCTTTTCTTTTCCTGCCCTGACCAAACTTCCTCCCTAAAGCTTATCCATAGTTTTATCTAGACAGACAGTTTTGTCAGCCTTTTTAAGTGAGAAGTTGGAACTAGATGACCCTAAGGTCCTTTCCAACCCCCACTGTTCTATGGTTCTATGAAACCCACAAAGCTAATGTTAGAGACTCTCAATCTGGAGCCAAAGGGATGAAGCAACAAGCATCCCTAGCATCACTGCACCAAATGCACTGAACCATCAGTGTTAAAAGGTTGAGGTCCAAGCTGAAACTCCCTGCAGCAACCTGCAGATGTAAGCACGTGAGCAAACATAACTCCTTGCTCGAATGATGCACCGTTAGCATCACTGGTTGCCAATACCACCAATGGTGAAAGAAAAGCAGTCACTAGAAGAGAATGGCATTCATCATAACCAAATGTTAGAGGTTTACTTTCAGATCCTGCTTAGCTCTGGTCTACTAAACAAAGCAAAAAAGGTCCTCACAGCACTTCATTATGAAGCTAATAACAATCAACCAAACTCACCCTCAGTAGGTGGAAACACTGCAACGTGTTGGCACATGTGCAGCTAATACAATACCAAAACAGAGTGCACAGAGGACAGGTAGGTTGCTTGCAAGTGAATACATTTTATATCAGAGATATAAAACGTCAGTACAGATGGGCCTGTCTTCAAAGTAGACAGAACCTGCACATCTATTGACCCCATCTGCTCTCCTGAGATGGCCCTGAAATGTAGCAGGGAAACGATGCCAAATTCTGAGCTCAAATCTGTGCTGGTGCAGGTAATTAACAGGCTGGTCCTTACCTCTGATCTCAAGTGAGTCCTGGTGTCTTTTCAGTTCTAAACAGAGCAAGCCCTTTGTAAGCAATGGAAAGGCCATCTCCTAAAGTAATATCACAGTTACATAGATAATCCTGCTGACAGTTTGCACAGACACCTGAAACCTCATGGCAAGCAAGTGATGCAGAGACAGCCAGATACAGGTAATGCCAAGCTTCACTTTGGCAGTGTGCAGGAAGCCTGCGCAGGGGCAGTGGGGAGCAAAGCCAAGCACAGTATAACAGCTTCCTTTCCCCAGGTGACAGCAGCATCTGAGCTATATTATTTACTACAAAATAAATGCAGAGGCAACGTGTTGAGCCAGGTAACAGCACTGGAAATAGGATGGAGAGGATAGCGTGTGCCAAGTGTAGCAGGGGAAGGGAACAGCTGCCAGCTCCTTGCAAAGAGCAAGGAATTAAGCATTTAACTTCTATGTTTCCCTATGTAAATACTAGGCATGACAATGAATCACAGAGTGGCTAATACCACATCAATTCAGTTACCTTGTCTCCTGGATGAGAAGCTAACTTATCAGAATCTCTTACAGCACGCTAGATTCAAGCTAAGTAGCATCCTCAGCCCTCCCTGTGCAGCTGCAGCGTGCTCAGACCTTGTGAGCTGTTTTAGGCACTGCTTTTTCGGGTGCTATCACCTCCTGGGATCCCTCAAAAACTAGACACCAGTATCCCCAGCTCCAAAGGGCATTTGTGTATGGAGGGGTTGAAGGGAGGGGGCTACAGAAGAGGGGAAAAAGAAAGGAAGGGAAAAAGAAAAGGCAAACACCCTTCACCCCGACATGACAGGCGAGCACAGGCAGTTACTGTAACGATCTCCTACATGACTTCCAAGCCCTCTGAAGGCTCTCTTATCTGCAGAGCTTTGTGCAGACCACCACCACCACCTTCCACAGCCCCACTCAGCCACAGCCAGGCTCTGCAGGCAAGCAAACAGGCAAACACACAGAGCCCATCTGCAGCACAAGTACAGACACACACCGACTGCGCTTACCTGAATAGACAGAGGGGCTGAGGTTCAACAGCCTGCTGCTGGGGTCTCTCAAGGAGCTCTCATCGGCAAAGCAGCTGCAAACTGCAGAGGCAGATCCTCTTTGATCCACTGGGATCCCTGGGATCGCAGAGACAAAGGCAGGCTCAGGCCTGAACAAGTCCAGACAAGCCCTAAGCAAGCCTCTTCCTGAGTTACAAGAGCAGCCAGCCCTCTGGGTGTCAGAGCTGGGTACCACAGACACCTCCCGGCCTGCAGCGGACACGGAGAGGTCAGCACTCACCCGTTAAAGGCAATACGGGACCCAATTTCTTCCAGTGCAGCATCACTGATGTCAGTGGAACTGAAATACACCGAACGGGGGCACTTCAACTTCAGCACACTTGTGCCAGGGCTGAATTTAATCTGGTTCACGGAAAGTAGCCCACATTAGAAAGAATGCAAGGTTCCTGCAGGATTCTTTCTGGCAAAGGAATGTAACCCACAACTTTGCAATCACAGCAGAGGCTCCCAATAACTGGAAAAAGCAAACTGGCCACCCAGAGATGCGCTGCAGCACTAACACCAGAGACCTATCAGTGCAGGACCCTGGATTTAAATGCACACAGCAAACCCACCCATCGGGGTCTGGAGGTTTTCCTCCATGCAGCTTAAGTATG